AAGAGAGAGAGAGAGAGAGAGAGAGAGAGAGAGAGAGAGAGAGAATGCTCATCAGGAACGTTGCTATGTAATAAAGGCAGAAACAGTCCTCACCTGTCAGGGTTTCAAACAAACTCCACAGCAACACAAAATGGTGTCAAAGATAGCCCACTAATTATAAAATGTGCACTAGGAATAAACCCTCCACGGAGGGCATCAGGAACAATGCAGCCCTCCGAACCAAAGCATGACCACTGCAAATACGGGGTAAATTCACCCTAATCACCTCAGAAACAACTTAAACTGCAATAACCATTGGAGATACCAGGAAGACTCTTATGATCACAGACTGTAAGGATGGTTGTTCTTACTGAAGAGGCCAATGGATTTTAAAAAACCTTTTGAGGTTCTGCCACTATTCTGTTGGTTCTAGTTCCAGGGGTTCTGGCAGCTCTGCTGTATTTCAAATCAAATCACCATATATTATCCATGAATAGGTGTCAACAGGCCACTTAACCATGGAGCCGGAGTCTGTCTCAGTACATACCTTCATGCACAGAAGCAGCCTCTGGAACTGCTGGAGGCCTGGGAGTTCATGCAAAGTGAAACAGTTATGATCTGTGGGAGATAGGCCACAGGAACAGTGCCAATTGCTAATGCTACGGCATTTCTGCCCTCATTAAATTGGATGGAAACTGTCCAAACTGGTTTCAATTAATAGCTGCCAGAAAGAAGAATTATGTACTCTACTTAAACTAAATTCAGGAAGTGTACTGAAACCGTTGGCATTTCTGTATTCAAATTCACTTCTGTGAGAGTGTCTGCAAATGCACGTTCCTCCGACTGTCCATGTTGTGACAGCTAGTATGGGTGAGTGTGTGTGTCTGTCTAAGAGAGATATATCTACGCAAGTGTTTGCTCGTGAAAGTAAGATAGACAGACAGAGAGCAAAAATAGACAGAGGCTAGTGCATAGGCCAAAACATCTTCAGCTGCTTCATCAATGACCTTCCCTCCATCATAAAGGTCAGGGTGGGAATGTTCACTGATGATAACATAATGCTCAGCACCATGTTCAACTCCTCACATACTGAAGCAGGCCATGTCCAAATGCAGCAAAACCTGCACAATATCCAGGGTTAGGCTAACAACTGATAAGTAACATTCACACTACACAAATGTAAGGCAATGACAATCTCTAAAAAGACAGAATCTGACCATTACCCTTGACATTCAATGGCATGGTCATCAACTGAATGCTGAACTACCAAAATCCTGGGGGTTACCATTGACCAGAAACTGAACTGCACCAACCATATAATTGTTGTGGATAAGAGCAAGTCTCAGGCTAGGAATCGCGCACCGATTAATTCACCTGAAATCCTGCCCACCATCACCAAGGTACAAGTTAGGAGGTTGATGGAATACTTGCCTGGATGACTGCAGCTCCAACAACACTCAAGAAACTTGACACCATCCAGGACAAAACCACCTGCTTGATTGGCACCACACCCACAAATATTCACTCCTACCAACACTGACTTTCGATATCAGCAGTGTGTACTATCTACAAGATGCGCTACAGAAGTTTATTCAGGCTTCTAAAACAAGAACCTATCTATCTTTGTCTTATATACACTCAATGACTTGGCCTCAACAGCCTTCTGTGGCAACGAGTTCCACAGATTAACCGCCCTTTGGCTGGAGAAGTTCCTCCTCACCTCTGTTCTAAAGGGTCGTCCCTTCACTCTGAGGCTGTGCCTTCAGGTCCTAGTCTCTCCTACTAGTGGAAACATCTTCTCCATGTCCATTCTATCCAGGCCTCTTAGGTTCAATCAGATTCCCCCTCATCCTTCTAAACTCCATCAAGTACAGAACCAGAATCCTCGACTGCTCCTCATATGACATACCCTTCAGCCCTGGGATCATTCTTGTAAACTTCTTCTGGACTCCATCCAATGCCAGCACATCTTTCCCTAGATAGAGGGCCCAAAATTGCTCACGATATTCCAAATGCAGTCTGACCTGAGCCTTATACAGACTCAACAGTATATTTCTGCTCTTGTATTCTAGCCCTATTGGAATGAATGCTAAAATTGCATTTGCCTTCCTAACTGCCAACTGATCCTGCATGTTAACCTTCAGAGAATCTGGAAGTAAGACTCCCAAGTCCCTTTGTGCTTCAGATTTCTGAAGCCTTTCCCCATTTAGAAAACAGTCTACAACTCTAATTTTCCTACTAAAGTGCACAAGCTCACACCTTACCACACTATTCCATTACCACCTCTTTGCCCATTCTCCTACCTGTCCAAGTCCCTCTGCAGCCTCCCTGCTTCCCCGACACTACCTATCCTTCTATCCATCCTTGTGTCATTTGCAGACTTAGCAACAATGCCCTCAGTTCCTTCATCCTGGTCGTTAATATAGAATGTGAATAGCTGCGATCCCACACGGACTTCTGTGGAACTGTGGTTGGCACTGCTGCCAAGGACCCAGGTTCAATTCCAGCCTTGAGTGACTGTATGTGTGGAGTTTGCCCATTTTCCCCGTGCTTGTATGGGTTTTCGCCGGGTGCTCTTTTCACAGTCAGAAAACGTGCAGGTTAGGTGTATTGGCTACGGGAAATCGTCTAAAGTCTAGGGATGGCAGGTTATGTGGATTAGCCATGGAAAATATGCGGTTATGGGTTTGTGTGGGATGCTCTTTGGAGGATTGGTGCGGACCTGTTGGGCTGAATGGCCTTTTTCTTCACTGTTGGGATTCCATGATTCTAAATCGATTAGTCACTGGCTGCCAGTCTGAAAAAGACCCCATTGTCTGTACTCTCTGCCTTCTGCTAGTCAGCCAGTCTTCCACCCATGCCACTACCCTGCCCCCAAAGCCATGGGCTCATCTGACTCAGCAGTTTGGTCAAAAGGATTCTGGAAATCCAAATAGATCACAGATTCAGTCATCCCACACTTTAAGGAGCAATCATATGGTTGTTTTGGAGGAGTGTAAATCTTGACGAATATTCTTCAGCTAGCCCAGGAGTGCGGAAATAAGATACATACATAATAACATACCTGCCCTAGGAGGATTGCAATGAAGTCTCAATGGACTAATTCCTGGTATAAAAGGCTTGCCCTTCGATAAGAGATCAAATAGACTGGGCCTACATTCCCTAGAGTTTAGAGGATGTAATCTCATTGAAACATATAAAGAATAGATGCTGGGAGGATGCTTTCTCTGGCTGGCGTGTAAAACATAAGCCTACTGTTTCAGAGCATAGGTTCAGAACCGAGATGAGAAGAAATCTCTTCACTCAGAGTGTCTTGGCTCTATACCCTAAAAGAGCTGAGGAATTTCAGACATTAAATATATTCAAGTGATATATCAACAGGTTTTTAGATCCAAAAGGCATTCTATGGATTTAGCGATAGGACAGGAAAAAGTGTATTGATATCAAAGGTCAACCACAATCCTATTAGATGGTAGAGTGAGATCAAAGGGCCATGTGATACTACGGATCTTAATTCTTGTGCAGCATGAGCTTAAACCTGATCATTAACTTATGGATTGTACTGAACCAATAATAAAAATAATAAAATCCAATCAGGAATTCAGGAGAAAATTATTTAACGAGAGACAGGGGTTAGGGGAGGACGGCACGGTGGTTCAGTGGTTAGCACTGCTGTCTCACAGCGCCAGGGACCAGAGTTCGATTCCACCCTCAGGCGACTGTTTGTGTGGAGTTTGCACATTCTCTCCGTGTCTGCGTGGGTTTCCTCTGGGTACTCTGGTTTCCTCTCACATTCCAAAAATGAGCAGGTTAGGTGGATTGGCCATGCTAAATTGCCCATAGTGTTCAGGGACATGTACATTAGGTGGATTAGCCATGGGGAATGCAGGATTACAAGGAAAGGGTTGTGGCAGGGGGGACGGCCTTCAGAGGGTCAGCGTGCACTCGATGGTCCAAATGGCTTGCTTCTGCACTGTAGGGATTCTATAGTATTTCCATGACCACAGCTGGAAGGTGAGCATGGATGTTCCTGTCCCCTGACCCCAGGTGTCTTGGGCCAATACTTACCGCTTAACCAACATCACCAAAGGGAGATTATCCTACCATTTGAGGGTCAGTGTAGACTTGATGGGCTGAATGGCCTGCTTCCACACTGTAGGGATTCTATACTATGCAGAACTCAAAATCACAGGCACAGTATTGATTCAAATAATGGGCAGCTGGATAATTGCATGAAGGTTAAAAGGAGTAAATCATGTTCAGAGGGCTCGGTGGAGAATGGCAGGAGAGGTCTCATGTGGAGTGCAAATGCCAGCATAGACCAGCTGGGCTGAATGGCCTGCTTTTATTTTGCAAACTCAATGGAATATACTGTTCTTGAGGCCCCTCCTCCAAATAATTGCACTGTATACAGAGAAAACAATTAGTTGCTAAGTAAATGTGCAAGCATTTCTAACAGCAATGCTACTCTTTGTGAAGACACAGAATGGGACAGTCATCACAGGAGACACTACAGAGTTTACAACCTGGAGGTGTGGGGCACAGAGCAGGATGCTGCGTTTAACTCACTGACCTAGAAAGTCACAGAGTGCAGAATCCAGAATTCGCAGCAATAGGGCCAACTTTTCCAGCTGTTCCTTCATGCTCTCTTGGCTCTCCTCAAAGTTACGGTGCTATGAACAGAGATAAGAGACAGATTGCTAACACTGTTGTGTGACGGGAGAGAATTAAACAGTGCCAGAACCATACAGCCACAACCACAGTTCAAACCATTTGCTCAGAATTAGTATCTCCCTTTATCAGAGATACATCTAAAATGCAAAATGATGGAAACACACAGCTGGTCCAGCAGCATCTGTGGACAGGAGAGTTGAGTAAATGCTTCAGATTGAGCATTCCCAAATACCCAGAGGGCAGTTAAGAGTCAACCACATTGCTGTGGGTCTGGAGTCATATGTAGGCCAGACCAGGTAAGGACGGCAGTTTCCTTCCCTCAAGGACACTAGTGAAACAGATGGTTTTTTCCTGACAATCGGCAATTGATTCATGGTCGTTATTAGACTCTTAATTTTTTTTTTATTGAATTCAAATTCCACCAGCTGCTGTGGTGGGATTTGAACCTGGGTCCCCAGATCAGTTCCTGGGTTTCTGGATTAATAGTCCAGAGATGACACCACTAGGTCACTGCCTCCCCAATATTGCTTCTCATGGGTGGTAAAGCAAGTGGGAATGTCCTGAGCATGTGAAAGGTGCTTTATCAATGCAAGCGTTTCCTTCTGTTCTCGGTGAAGCAGAATATCCATGGCACTGACAACACTCACCACTTGCTCCATGAAGTCTGTGAAACACCAGAAGGAATCAACTTCGTTCAGTGTAACGTACAGTATGGGAGAGAGGAGGTCACTCATTCCCTGAACGTAGCCTGCAAAAACATAACAGCAACTATTGTAAATGTTCAGTCTTGGAGATGGTGGAAGGAGATTTCAGAATGGTATCAGAGCTGAGGAACTTGAACGCGGAGGAAGATGTAGCTGTTCTTTGAACTGGAAAGATTAAGAGAACATTTAAATTATTCAAGGGCTTTGATAGAATAGATAAAGAGAAATTGTTTCCAGTGATAACACAGTCAGTAATTGAATGGACAAGGATTTAACTTAAAAGAACCACAGGAGACAACAGCATCTTTTTAAGCAGCAGGTTGCAGCAACCTGGAATACTCTCCCTGAAAGGGTGACGAAAGCAGATTTTATGGGCTAGAATTTTTAGGTATTGGCAATCTTATGCAGATGCTGCTCCAGCCCTTTTGTCTTATTTAAGAGAGAGAGAGAGAGTCCACTTGCGTCTCCCTCAGGAATGCAGACAGTATTTCCATTCTGATTGTTCTTTTGTAGTGAAAGCAAACCATGTCCCCTTTTCATAGCAGTCAGCTGCTGTGCTCTGAAATGTAAAAGATCCTGAAAGCCAGATTTGACAGTGTCTAACAAAGGGTAACAAAAACAAAGTTGCTGGAAAAGTTCAGCAGGTCTGGCAGCATCTGTGAAGGAAAAAAAATTCCGAAATTCTGAGGAAGGGTCACCGGACCCGAAACGTTAACTCTGTTTTTTTCCTTCATGGATGCTGCCAGACCTGCTGAGCTTTTAGCAACTTTGTTTTTGTTCTTGATTTACAGCATCCGCAGTTCTTTCCATTTTTATCTAACAAAGGGTAAGTCTGATGTTATGGTGCTAGGGGGTTAGGGTGCCAGATGGATGGGGGTAAGATGCCAGGTAGACAGGGTACTAGCTGGAGAGTGGTAGGGTGCCAAGTGGTAGGATGCAAGACAGGTAGAGGGTAGGGTGCCAGCTAAGGAGAGTGCCAGGTTGCAAGGTGGTGAGGTAAGTGGACGTCAGGACGAGCTGGAGAAAAATTGGGTTCAGTGAGTTGTGGGTGTCAGGTCTGGTGGGCGGAGGGTGGTTTGGGTGCAAAGATAAGCTGAGGGGTTCATGGTGTCACAGGCAGAGGTGTTAGCCAGGGTCTTGTGGTGATGTAGTTGCGGGCGCTGGGAGATTGGATGGGATATCTATAGGATCAGTTTTATAGTTGCTCTGGGATAGACTATGTATTTAACACAGTCTAACTTTGTCCTGAGTAACTATTTAACTTAATTTCATCGAAAGCATTCATAATCCCCGATTTTTATTAGACTTTTGGATGCTTCCAGGCATAGAGGAATTCACAGTAAAATTCAATTTCCCAGGCATTTCCTTCAGAGTGTGCTACGATGGGATTTTGCCAGGTCCCCGTGCGCAATTCTAATCTGTCCTGGCGTAACGACTGTCTGGCCATCAGAGTATCTGTCCCAATATCTTTCAAAAAGGGTACTCAATGAATACCTGAAATGGAGAAATTTGCCAGAATATATGGGTAAACTGCAGGGAGGGATGGGACTAATTAGTCAGCTCTTTTTAAAAAGCTAGTAAAAGTGCAATGGGTTGAAAGGACTTGTTCTGCAGTGTATGATTCTATAATAACCATATGGACAATGTTATACGGTACCTTTAGCCCACAGCTCTCAACTGGATTTATCCACACTCTTCCTCAAGCAGCCATATTAAAAACAACTTGTTCTTCACAATATAGTGTCTGAGAGAGCTTGTGCTCATCATAATAAACATGTCTGCCTGTACAACAACCTGCATTAATATGGTGCCTTCAACTTGGTAAATGTTTTACAACAAACCTGAAAAGTAGACAATGATCAGTGGAACAAAACAAACTCAGCAGGTCTGGCAACGTTTAGGGAGAGAAAGCAGAGTTAACATTTTGAGTCTCATGACCCTTCTTCGGATCTGTTCCGAAGGAGGGCAATCGGACTTGAAACGTTAACTCTGCATTCTCTCCACAGATGCTGCCAGACCTGCTGAATTTCTCCAGCAATTTCTGTTTTTGTTTTCGGCTTCCAGCACCTGCAGTTCCTTGCTTTATTTTAATGATTAGCGAAGATCAGATTGACCGGCCTGAGGGGGCAGCAGCACCTAGCATACGGCAGTATGAGTTGGAAGGTTATTCAAAGTTGATGGGGGTGGCGGATTTGAACCAGAGTTCGGGTCAAACAGCTCATCAAGGGATTACATCATTGGATTCAGTCCGAGGAAGAAACAAGCAGGAAGATTGAAATGGTGGGAGGGACGTTGCAGTGTTTTATCAGAAGCTGAACAAGGTGACTTTGAACTTGCAGAATGTTGGAAGAAATTCAAGATTATTCACGTGATGAACTGAATTAGCTTTATTGTTACATGTACAAGTACAGTGAAAAGTTTACAAGTCGCCATTAATGGTGTCATCTTAGGTACAAGGTACCTAGGTACAAATTTTTCAGTACAAGTTCTAAAGCAATAAAATAAAACAAAGAAATAAAAAGTCCAGCATTTCAGATCATAAGAATTAATTAGAAAAATAGAGAATAAAAAAAAACCAAGTTCAGAATAACAGTCCCTCCAACCTCGTCCATGCCAGGCCTTGAACCATCTTGAGACTGGAGGTCCAAGCTGAGGACATGCTGGGCCGAAAGACCGCCACGGGCCGCTGACAGATCACCACACCAGGATGAGAGGGCACCATGGGCTGTGAGAGACCGCCACACTGGGCTGGGGAATTGCCACACCGCGCTGGGAGATTGCCATTGCGGGCCGACAGGCAAAGTTAGATTACCCAGACAGTTGCAGGGCTAGAGACTGGAGTGAGCTGCAGCAGCACCCAGATAAATGGAAATACCTAACACTAATGCCTCGTGAAGTTGTTGCTGCTGGACAGCTGATAAGGGATGTGGATAAGCAAGGATGAGGTGACAGTATGGGAATGGTGGCAGGAAGCCATTGTTAGGTATGCTGGGACGTGGAGAAGGTGCAATTAACAGAGGGGTGGTGTTAACACAGGTCACTTATCAATGATGAAGTCTGAAAAGACAAGCTGCATAACACAGGCTCTTTTTATTGTTTTCAAAATAATTCTAACATGAAAGTGGGTAATACATGCTAATACTGTACTGGTTGGTCAACCAATATTGACCTTCTCTAAATTCAAACTCATCAGAAACATTCTTGCCAGTATTTCAGATTAAACTAAGTCCCATTTATAATCTACATTTGTTCCTGAGCCACTAATGCCCCAAATTTAAAATTCTTGGCATTTGCCCAATTCCTAAGAGCTACCACTTAGACCAAGCTTTTGTTCAAAAAGGGTAATAATATACAATGCTCAGTGGCCATCTGAGAAATAGCTTGATGCTCATTACAATGTTAAAGGCACCGTATAAATGCAAGTTGTACTCATTTAGAGTCACTGGATGCGCCCAGTCAGCAACATGTGTATTAGAAGAGACTAAAATGGGAACTTACCCAGATCAAAGTTATACATGCAGTAAGTCATCAGCACATCATTCAACAACACCAGGCCTGGATTGTCATTCCCCTCATAGAACTTGTTGCTGCGATCAGTCCTGCTGACATCCCGTTCTATGGATGAGAGGTTATTTCAGCGATCAATGTAAAAAACTAACTCTGAATATTTTGCCATGCAGACCAGATCTTATCCATTCACTTCAAAGAACATTTTCTTTATATTGCTTTTTGTTATAGAATCAGAATTTTTGTTGCTTTGTCAATCACCTAACATCAGTATTGCTCTGGTTCTCTAGTACTGGGAACAGTTTCTATCTATTCTGCTTGAATTCCTGATGATTTTGAACCCATCAAATACAGAATCTTCTCTTCTCCAAGAAGATCTCCAATAGGAGGCTGAAGCTGAATCTCCTTCCCACTTACAAACAGTTATATTCAATCCTATCTACAAGGCACAAGTAAGGCATGTGGAGGAGTACTCTCCACTTTCCTAGATGAACACAACTCCAACATTCAAGAAGCTCAGCACCATCCAAGACAAAGCAGCCAACTTGACTGGCACCTCGTACACCTCCTTAAATATTTACTGCTCCCATCATTGGCACACAGTGTCAGCAGTGTGGACCTTTACAAGATGTGGTGCAGCAAGCCACTATGGCTCTTCAAGAACACCTTTCAAACATGTGACCTCTGCCACTTGAAGGACAAGGGCAGCAGATATATGGAAAGATCATCACCTGCAAGCCCCGCAGCATCCTAATTTGGAATTATTTCACTGTTCCTTCACTGCTGCTGGGTTAAAATCCTGGAACTCTCTCTCTAACAGCACTGCTGGTGTCCCCACACCATTAGGACTGCAGCAGTTCGAGGCAGCAGCTTACAACCACCTTCAGAAGGGAAGTTAGGGACTGGTAATAAATGCTGGCCCAGTTAATGCCACCCACATCATATAAAACAAAGTAAAAAAAATTTCCTGTTGTAACATCGTCAAGTGTTTGGGGCTTTTTGCTGAGGCTTTGTGCCTTGCTGCCTGTGGCTGTGCAGTACTTCCCCTAGATGCCACTATTTTAAGCTGAGCCTTGATGGGAATTGCTGTGGAGTGACTCACCAATTAAGGTGCTCTGGAGCAGATCTCTGACTGCTGCAGATTGATCTAAAAGTTCACTCAGCTCCCCATTAAACTCACCAATCAGACTCTTGTATGCTCGCAGTTGGGAATTCCGCCGTTCCTGATCTTCAGTCACCGACTTCCACTGCAGTTTCATCCGGAAATACTCGTCCCTGAAGAAAGACCCATGTGGGTTAGCAGAGAAATACAGAGTATGTGTATCGTGGGGAAGGGAATGGAAAAGAGATCAAGCCACCTAGAGTTTGAAACATGCAGGTGCAGCTCAATTTGCTTGAACACATTCTAGCCTGGCCAAGAGAAATCTACAAGTGAATCATCAGACTGTTAGTAAGAGAAGGCAATCAGTAATCAATGCTACTGGCGACAGCATTCCTAGGTCAGAAATAATGCACTTTAGATCTGTTAGACTACTCCGTAACATGAACTCACAGCCTCAATGAAGTTAGCTTAGAGGTAAATAACTCTCTATAGTCAGAACAGTGGGAAATCAGTGCTCATCAGCCAGCTTTGACTGTAAACATCACATCGCCATTTTCCAAATCCCTCTATGACCTTTCTTTGTAATGTCCCCTAGCCCTTCAACCCATTGTCATCGCTGGGAGTCCTAGCCTTTTGCACATTCCCAATTTTCCCCTACTGATAGTTCCTGGTCTGAAACTCCCACCCTAACCCCCTCAGGTTCTCTCTTCTTCAAGATGGGCTTTGATCAAATTTTTAATCATCTGACCTAATGATGCCCTGTGCAGCTTGATGCCAGATTTTATTTGACAATACTCCTGCAAAGGACCTTGGATGGCTTGACTATGTCAAATGCAAATTGTTGTTGTTGCTGTAAAGCCAGAAAATTGGTGTTAAGTTGTTCCAAATTTGGGGCTCAACCCCGTGGATTCAGGCCAGATCAGAACCTGACTGGTTTGTCCTATTTTACACTTGGGATCTTCACAGTCAGAATTGCAGTAAACCTTCACCCTTTAAATATGGAATCAAAAGAAACTCCATTCTAAATGGAAATTCATGAATCAAATCCACTCCCCACAATCATCCCACCGTTTCGTTGCCCTTTGAGGATTGATTGAGGAGAATGGGCGTATGTTCTGAGAGATGGTTTCATTGAAACACACACAATTCTCACAGGGCTCATCAGAGGAGATGCTGGAAGGATATCTCCATTGGTTTCAGGGTGGAGGGAGGTGGAGTGGAGGAGGTGCATCCAGAATCAGTGAACAGTTTCAGAAAAAGGGACAGGGCATTTAGCACTGTGATAAAGGAGGAATTTCTTCCCTCAGAAGACAATGAATCTTTAGAATTTGCTACCCCAGACAATTGCAGAAGTTCAGTCAGAGTATCTTCAAAGCAGAGAGTGGTGGATTTCTATACATCAAAAACAGATCAAGGGGTAGTGCTGGTGTTGAGATGTAAGATCAATCACGACCTAGTGAATAGCAGAGCAGGCTCAAGGAACTGAATGGCCTGCTCTTGAAATTATTTCCTATGCTATCTTCATTAACTAGAGCATCTAGAAGGATAAACACTTCATTTTCAACTTGGGGGCCCTGCAGTTTTCTGGACTCAATATCGACTTCAATAACTTTAGGGCTTGAGCTCTCCCATGTCCTTACCCCGACAAGCCCCACACACCAGGCCTTATTATCACATAGTCTGCAATTACACACAACCCATTGTTAGCCACTAACAGTCCCCATTCATAGCTACTCACCTTCCAAGCCAGATCATCCACTCCTTTGTCTGTCCAACTGTTCCTCTCTCTCTTTGGGCTCTATCTCCACCTATCGTTTAATCCTTAACCCCTCCCCCAACCCTGTCTTCCACATATAAACCAACATTTTCTTAGCTACCATCAGTTCTGAGGAAGGGTCACTGGACCTGAAATGTGAACTCTGATTTCTCTCCACAGATGCTGCCAGACCTGCTGAGCTTTTCCAGCAAGTTCTGTCTTTGCATCTAGAAGGATACATCTCTGTCCCTGCTTAATGGTTGAATGCTTGCATACCAGTAATGACAGACACACTGCTTTCTCCCTTCAGTCATAAGCAGCCCCCTTTCAACGTAGGTCACAGTGGAATAGCTCCTCACGTTTTTTGCTTCACCACAGTTCTGCGTTCCTCAGCCGTGCTATCCCAGGAGTAGTATCCCAACAGGAATTTCCAGACTTCCCGACGGATGCTGTGGCACAGTCCCTGAGATTAAAGGAACAATTAATAAAGCGGCCAAATTTTCAAAGGGATTTTGATACAGCAAATAGGGAGAAATCAATTCCAGTGATCGGGAGGTCAGTAAGCAGAGACACAGGTTTAAAATATTTGTCAAAAGATACGAGGAGGGAGTGGGGGAGAGACATGTTTTTAATTACAGAGTTGTTATGATCTGGAATGTGCAAGGACTTTTTAAAAATATTCAGTATTTCTGATTGTAAGCTAAAAGGACAAACGAATGATTTTAAAATCCAAGGATTGTGGTAGGTATTGCTACACCTACCAAACCTTACTTACAGTAAGTACTGTTTACACTGTTTTTTGTTGAACCAGTCGGGGCAGGGGGAGCTTTACTTGCAGACAAACTGGCACCAGTGAGTGTGTATAAAATGTAAATTGGCATGGTAATCGGTAGTTGATTGATATTTGGTCATTACTCTATACAGCAATGACAAAGACCCTCTGCCTGCAAACAACTGTGTGACTGGCTTTCAGGTATCTGAACAGTTTGTGGGATTGAATGAGTTAGCTAGAAGCCTGTCAAACTCTGGAAAAGGAGGTGCTGTCCTTGTCTGTACGGTAAAAACACCTAAAGCCTGCAAAAAGCCAGTTTATTTTCCCTCACCACTTGCTGTAAGCAGTCGCTTTTAACCAGTCAGAGACTTTATAAGTTGTGAACCAATGGTTCTATGCCTCGTGCAAGGAGGCAGATCGAGGAACTTTGGCAAGCCAAAAGGACCATCTCAGTGAATCACAGGGACAGAGACCATTGAAATGCCTTCCCACTTTATCTATCCACCTATGACACCATTTTTCTTTTGTCTGTCTCTGTCTTTGATTTTAGTTTATTTATTATTGTCACATGTACCTAGGTACAGTGAAAAGTTTTGTTTTGTGTGCAGCACTGGCAGATCATACAATATAAAGTGCATTAAGGTAATAGAACAGAGGGAAGAATACATTGTTACAAGCTGCAGAGGTCAACATTAAATTTAAAATTTGAGAGGTCCATTCAGAAGTCTAATAACCGCAGGGAAGAATCTGTTGGTAAGTGTGTTTGAGAGAGATAATTACCGAGGTGGGAGGGGTATTTTATTATGCTGACTGCCTTCCCGAGGCAGCGAGAAGTATAGATTGAGTCAATGGATGGGAAGTTGGTTTGCGTGATGGACTGGGCTGTGTTCACAACTCTCTGTGCCACACCGAGCCAAGATGCACCTGGATAGAACGCTTTCTGTGGTGCATTTATAAAAATTTGTAAGAGTCAATGTGGACGTGCCAAATTTCCTTAGCCTCCTGGGGAAGTAGAGGCGTCACTCTGCTTTCTTGACCATCGTGTAGGTGGACCAGGACAGATTGTTGGTGATCATTACTCCTGGAAACTTGACACTGTCGACCATCTCCATCTCAGCACCACTGTTGTAGACAGGGGTGTGCCTTCCACCTTGCTTCCTGATGTCAATGACCAACTCTTATGCATATGTAGGTATTGTAAGGGTATTAGAGTTTTAACTAAGAGTTGTATGTCAACAATTTCCAGTAGTTTATCTGTAACTAGAATTTAAAAAAAAAAAAAAAAAAATCAATCATTCACAGAATGGCATTGCTTACTGGGCCAGCATTTATTGCCATCCCTATTTGCCCAGTGGGCAGCTAAGAGTCAACCACATTTCTGTGGGTCTGGAGTTACAAGTAGGTCAGACCAGGTAAGGATGGGAGTTTCCTTCCCTAAAGGGCATTAGTGAACCAGATAGGATTTCTGACCATGAATTCATTGTCATCATTAGACTCTCAATTCCAGATTTTTACTGAATTCAAATTCTACCAGCAGGATTCGAACCCAAATCTCCAGAACATTACCTGGGTTTCTGGATTAACAGACCAGTGACAATACCACTAAGCCATTGCCCTCCCTAATAATGTCAAGTATAGAAACCTGGTCTGCGCTTTCTGTCAATTTGTGACTAAAGACAATCACATTGGGGAATTTTAAAAATATCCTGATAAAATCTTTCACTTTTGTGATGACTCTGGGAAAGTGTGACTTGATTCCAGTGTTCTACTGCAGTGAGGCATGACAAATGCAGTACGTGAAAGAGGACAGTGGAAGCAGATTCAATACTTACTTTTCAAGTTGGAATAAATACTTGAGGGGGAGAAAAACACAGGACAATGGAGAAGGAGCAAGGACTGGGTCAAGAACAAGAACAAGAACAAAGCATGATACAACACAGGAACAGGCCCTTTGGTCCTCCAAGCCTGCACCAACAAATTTTGCCCTTCCATTCTAAAACTGTCTTCATTTACAGGATCTGTATCCCTCTATTCCCTTCCTATTCATGCATTAGTCCAAGTGCTTCTTGAATGCTGCTATTCTGTCTATTTCCACTACCTCCTCTGGCAGCACGCCCCAGGCCCTCATCACCCTTTGTGAGAAAAACATCTTTTGCACATCTCTTTTAAACTTTTCCCCGGCACCCCCCCGCCCCTCAAACCTGTGTCCCCCAGTAATTGACCCCTCACCTTGGGAAAAAGCCTCATACTTTCCACTCTATCCAAGCCATTCGCAATCTTACAAACTTCTATTAGGTTGCCCCTCAACCTCCTGCGTTCCGGTGAAAACAAACCCCGTCTATCAAACCCTTCTTCATAGCTAAAATCCCTCATACCAGGCAGCATCCTGTAAACCTTTTTCTGTACCCTCTCCAAAGTATCCACATCCTTCTGGTAGTATGGTGACCAGAAATGTGTGCAATATTCTAAGTATGGCCTAACTAAAGTTCTATAAAGCTGCAGCATAACTTATACTCAATGCCCCTTCCAATGAAGGCAAGCATGCCAAAGGCCTTTTCTTTTAACTACCTACCTGCACTGCCACCTTCAGTGATCTGTGGACCTGCACACCCAGATCCCTCTGAATATCAATACTCTTAAGGGTTCTGCCATTCACTGTACAATTTCCACCTGTGCTTGACCTTCTAAAATGCATTGAATTGTATAATTCTCCCAAAGAGGGGGCCGAATGGTCTCCTGCTGTGCTGTATGATCACAAAATAAGTCCATGAATCAATGTTCGAAATGACAGCAGCAGAAAAGACAATGGATACCTCAATTAATAATGTGTAGAGGATTAAGCAGTACAGTGTTACACTGCCCGATATGGGTGGGGCAGGGGCAAAAATAAGGCAACAACAGAATATTTCAGAATGCAGTAAAGTAAGAAAGAAATTGCAATTATATAGTGCCTTTCACATCATCAGTATGTCCCAAAACACCTCAGCCAAAGAAGTACTTTTCAGTGCATCAACATGTCAACAGAAATGAGATCAATAACTATGCAACTTGTTTTCTGGTTGAAATTTAAGCTAATTGGTAGAAGAACTTGTGGGGGCACTGTTTAGTGGCAAAGATAGGTGAAGACATTCTTTAAATATGAGGAGTCAGGCTGAATAGTCTCTTTCGGTGCAGTGGAGTTGGAGAAAATGTGTGCCTAAGTCCAGAAACGGGTCTTAAGCCAGTGACTGGCTAGCCCAAGTAGTGCACGCTGCTAGGAAACCAGTACAACTCCCCAGTCCACGAAGCTGAGGTAATTTGAGTATATTTCTGATTTGCAGTCCATCTACTACTCAGTACAAATCCCATGCTGACTTTTTAAACACAATGAACAGGGATGTTGGTAGGATAAACTGAAAACTTTCTGGCATATTATTAGCATCAAACAATCCCAGGGTACATACAGTACAGGATCAGATACAGAGCAAAGCTCCCTCTAATCTTCAATTCAAAGTAAAGTTCCCTTAACATTGTCCCCATCAACTTGGACAAATGGGTATAGCACAGGGTTAGATACAAGGTAAATAGCTTCCTCTACTCTTTTAAAACTAAAAGTATACAGAAAGTAAAGTTCTCTACTTTTTTAAATTGAAAAAAAAGCTCCCTAGACACTGTCCCCATCAACCAGGATATTTACAGCACAGAGTTAAGTTAGTCAGATGCGGTGGCTGATATTCTCTGAATTTTTGTCAAGCCATTTGAAGCTGATTGTGGTTCAAAGACAACACAACACTCAGTATTTTTGAGTTACTCTTTTACCATCTCCCATTCGTCAGGGAATAAGTCTTCTACTTGGGTTAGCACCTATTCACCAAGTCAGAACTAATTTCTCTTGCCCTTGTTATCCAGTCTGCTGCTTTTAACTGAATGTTGCTAACTTCAAAAGGATTTTGGAAACCCCACTAAATTCCTGGTTTGCCGTGATTTATGCTGGCAAGCTATTGGATCATTTGAATTTCCACCTTGACTGTACTTCCCCAAAATGACACGGAAAGTTTTAGAAACCAGCATGTAAATTAATGAATGAATTCACCTACTCCTTTGAAAATCTTCTTCTTCAATTCCTCCACTGCCTGAACTCTTCCTTCTGAGTCCAGATGTTTCTCCCACTCCTCAGCTGTTATAGTCTCCTGCCTCTGCACAGCTGGCCGCTGACCTAGATCAGCTTGCTGCAAAAGAAAGTCAGAAAGATCTTAAAACGTGACGATTAAGGGAAATCTCTCTTTACAACAAAACAAAGGCTGCAGTCGGGATATTTCTGTTTCTTCCCTTCTTTTATCATATTAGGACTTACTGCACAGAAATAGGCCAGTGCATATGCTCTGCATGAGCTTCCTCCCACTCTGCTTCTCATTGTACCAACATACTGTTTTGTTTTCTTCTCTCACTGGTTTGTATAACTTTAATTTAAAATTAGTTTATGCTATTCACCTTAACTACTCTCAGTGGTTGCATGTACTACATTCTCACCACTCTACACAAAAAATCCAACAAATCCTTTGGATTTATTATAGTCATGGCTGCCTGATTTTGGCATTCCCCACATGTGAAAATATCTTTTCCCACGTCTGCTCTATCAAACATCTTCACAATTTAAAGCTGTCTATTAGACAACCTCTCACTCCTCTGCCAAAGGCAAAAGGCCACACTACACCTAGACAGGCTTCTCTGGTAGTCCGCGGAGCGAATGGAGGGCCGGAGCGGAGCGAGCTGGAGGCATGGGGCAGAGCGGAGCGAGCTGGAGGCATGGGGCAGAGCGGAGCGAGCTGGAGGCATGGGGCAGAGCGGCTGAGGGCCGGAGCGGAGCGGGGACAGGTGTTTGACTGGGGACCAGTATGGGTGGTCAGTGGCTTGTGAGCCCAGTCAGACTACATGTGGAAGGCCCCTTTGCTGACCTATTGCAACGTAATATTTACTTTTAATCTGTTTATCTGACTAATGTTTATCCTTTTAACTTCATTTCTTATTTTCTACCTTATATGATGAATCACTACGAAGTAATGTAACTTTTTTTAAAATTTCTCTATTTTGTATTAAAATCTGTACCTAGGTACTTTGTACCTAAGATGGGTGCGATGAGGAGTGACATTGTAAACTTTTCACTGTACTCCTGTGCTTGAGTACATGTGACAATAAATCTAATTCCAATACCTCTGGTACCATGCTTGTAAATCTTATTGCACCTGCTCTATAGCCTTTCATGTAAATCTTTATAAAATGGGAGACTAGAACAGCCTTAGTGGTGCCATATTTACAAGGTCATCAAAACGTGGATAGGCTGCTCCACCTTGAAGTACATCAGAAGTCCAAAAATGATTTGAATTGCTGTAAAATTACAAACAAGGTATGGTTTCATATACAGGCATTTATTCAGATGAAGCTGAAATTCATGGGACGCAACAGATCTTCACTAGATACTAAACAGCAGCCTGTTCGTCACACTCAGGTCAACTGTCACAGCCTCAATCAACTAACTTAACTCATGACAATGGTTTGAGCATGGCACTTTGCTGGTTTGATGACCTATTACTCACTGCCTCCAGTGACTGAGCTGTCAGGGGGAGAATGGTTACGCAGATAGCTGGGACTGTCCTTTGTTGCTTTTCCTGGGGAATGCTAACTGCTGAAGCAGTTGGGAGGAAGTTATTGCAATAGCATTGTGAGGGACCTGCAGTAATATCAGTGGAAATCCATTCAGTAATCCATGACACTGGTTGGGAGGAATTACTGAGCCTGATTACATCACTGGCCAGGCCAACATTTATTACTCATCCCTCAATGCCTTGGCAAAGGTGGTGGTGAGCTGCCTTCTTGATCTGCAGTAATCCATTTGGTATAGGAACACCCACAGCGTTAGGACGGTGGGAATTCTAGGATTTAGACCCAACAACACTGAAGGAACAGTAGTAATGTAGCTCCAAATCACAATGCTGAGTCACTTAGAGGGGAACCTGCAGGTGGTACTGCTCCCAACCACCTGTTGCCCTTGCTCCTCCTCGGTAACAGAAGTCATGGGTTGGGGAGATGCTGTTAAGAGAGGCTTGGTGACTTGTAGATGGACACATTGCTGCCACTGTGCATTTGAGTGGAAGTGAGTGAATGGTGAAGGTGGGGACAAGGTGCCAATTAAGTGGATTGCCTTGTCTTGGTTGCTATTGAGCTTAAGATTGTTGTTGGAGCTGCAGCCATCAGCTAAATGGGAGCATTCCATCAAACTCTTTACCTGTGTCTTGTTTATGGAGGACAGAAATTTGAGAGATAGAATGTAAGTTTCATGCTGTGGACTTTCTAGCCTCCAACCTGCTCTTATAGTCACAGTACTCACATGGCTACACCAATTCAGTTTCTGGTCAATGGTAGTCCTAGATTCTCTCTCATTGGAAATGGCCATTGTTTGGCACTTAAGTGGCAGATAATATTTGCATCACATGGAGCTGTAGCCTGGATCCACACTTCCTGCATAGGGGCACACTGCTGCAGTACCTGAGGAATTGCATTCACCATGCAGGGTGAATACCCCACTTTGGACCTTATGATTGATGGAAGTGTTGGGGATCTGTGCAACACTATAAAGACTGCACTAATTTCAGCTAACACAGCTTTCAAACACCAACAAACTCAGTGGCCCATCAAAGGTTATATCAGCACACAGCATAGTTATGAAGGGTACGAAGGATTGCAAAACTAGAAAAGATTGTGTTCACTGTCCAGCATGAAAAGTGACCTGATAGATGTATTTAAAATGGTTTGGCCATGTGTCCTATATTCATCACCAGGTAATTCACCATCAGAGCAAAGGTTGGACACTTACACACATGATGACTTCAAAGCCTGGCTCCTCCTGTTGGTCCAAGTCAAGACCGCTCGCCATCTCGCGTAGCGGACGGTGACGGGATCCATCCTGGGGCCGCAGGGCTCCACGCAGGAAGTTGGTCACCTTGGAGAAGCTGCCAAAAGTGGCAGCATAAGGGTCCTGTATAAAGCGCTGGGGAAGGAGGAAAAAAAAAAGAAAGAGACGCTCAGTAATATACATTTCACATGGAATGATTGAGGAATGGGGAAGGCTACTCAGCCTATTATGCCTGGGCCAGCTTTTTGCAACTGGGGGCTCTGGTACAAAGTGCAAAACGGTGAACTGGTGAAAGGGAGATAAGAGGTTTAAAATTTAAGCGTTGATCTTCTGTAAAATTTAGGTATGCTTGCCTGCAATTTAGCATTGTATATAAAATTATTGTTTTAAGTCTATTGTCTCAAAGTTTTGGGGAGAATGGTTAAACATGCAAATCAAGCCCTCTGTGGCAGAGCAGATATGATCAGCCAATTAAAGAAACTGGTTTAACTTTTTTTTTAAATTGTAACTACCAGCTAGATGAATGACCAAGGCCACACTAGTATAAGATGAGAGTTTGAGTGCTGGTGCAGAATGGTACATTATGAGTTTGGTAAAAGGGGAGGGAGGTACTCTTTTCACTTTTCTTTCCTGATATTTATCCTTCAGCAGATCAGGAGTTGAAAAGCTTCAAGACACGGCTGGTATTTAAAAATATCCAAGAGCGACATCGCAGGGAAAAAGTGAGCTCATTGGCTGGGATCAGGAGCTAGCAAAAGGACAAGTGGCTGCCTTGGGTTAAGTAAGATCATGTCAGCATTTAGTCTATTGTTTAGATGAGAACTGATTAAAGCAAATGGAATAAAATAAAGTTTTGGTGTATAATCAATACACTTTAAAGTTGAGAAAGATAAAGGAAAGAGTAATTTCAGGCTAAGTCATAGTAAGGCAGTTTAGCAAAGTGGAATGCTTCTACTGCGTGATGTAGGAAAAAGAAGCACACTTCCAATATCCAGGGTGACCATGCGTGCAGGAAGTGTCTCCAGCTACAGCTACTGAAAATGTACATTTCGATCTGGAGCGCTGGCTGAAATCACTAGCGTATTCACACAACTGAGAACATCAGGGACAGCACGTATAGCAAGGTGGTTACATTGCAGGTAAAGAGTGCACAGGCAGAAGGGGAATAGGTGATTAACAAACAGAGTAAAAGCACCAGGCAGGTAAAACAGGAGTCCTATGGGGACATCTGCCTCTCGAACAGATTTTCCATTTTGGATACTGCTGGGGAAGTGGTTTCTTAGGGGAATGTAGCGAGAGCCATTGTCCGTAGTACCAGAATGGCTCGGCTGTGTGGGAGGGTGTTGGGTTGGAAGAGAGGACCGTAGAATCCCTACGGTGTGGAAGCCAGCCATTTGGCCCATCGAGTCCACACGGACCTCTGAAGAACATCCCATCCAGACCCACTACTCTACCCTATCTCTGTAACTCAGCATTTCCCACAGCTAATCCACCTAACCTGTACATCTTTGGACTGTGGGAGGAAACTGGAACCCGCAGACATGGGGAGAACGTGCAAACTGCACACAGTCACCCGAGAGTGAAATCGAACCTGGGTCCGTGGGCTGTGAGGCAGCAGTACTAACCACTGAGCCACCCATATCATACAGATATAGTGATAGAATGTCCAGTCACAAGGGAATAAAATGTTTCTACAGCCACAGACATGATGTCAGGATAGTTTTCTGCCCCCAGAGAACCAAGGTTGAGGATATCACAGAACGGCTGCAGGGCATTTTGATGAGGGAGGGAGAACATCCAGAGGTTGTGGTCCATGTCAGTACCAGTGACAGGTATGAAGAGGAGTCCTGCATGCAGACTATAGGCAGCTAGGAAAGAAATTTAAAAAAAAACACACTGAAAGGTAGTATTCAAAGGATTAATCCCAGTGCAGTGTACTAGAGGCATCAGGAATAAGAGAATAGACCAATGAATGCATGGCAGGAGGTATGATGCAGGAGGGAAGGTTTTAGATTCTAAATGCATTTAGACCAGTTCTGGGGAAGACGGGATCTGTATATGCTGGGCAAGTTGAACTTCAGCAGGACTGACAGCAATCCTAGAACTGTGGGGGAGTCTTGAAACTAGAGTGACGGCAGCACAGGAACCCAAGGTGGGGGACAAGAGCGAGGGAAACAAAGATAAAAAAAGTAGAAAAGTAGAAAGCAAAAGTACAAGGCTAGCTGCAAATAAGGACTCAAAAAATATTTTAAAATGTCGAAAAGACACGGCACGGTCACTCAGCAGGAACCCAGGGTCAATTCCACCCTCGGGCAACTGTCTGTGTGGAGTTTGCACATTCTTCCCGTGTCTGCGCGGGTTTCTTCCAAGTGCTCTGGTTTCCTCCCACAGTCCAAAGATCTGCAGGTTAGGTGGATTGGCCACGCTAAATTTCCTATTGTTTCCAGGGATGTGTAAATTAGGTGGATTAGCCATGAAAGTTTACAGGGATTGGGTAGAGAGGTGAGTCTGGGTGGGATGCTCTTTGAAGAATCGGTGTGGACTTGTTGGGCCGAATGGCCCGTTTCCACACTGTAGGGATTCTATTAAAAGGAATCTAGAAATCTGCAGGTACTATATCTGAATGCATGGAGCACTCTCAATAAGGAAAACAAGTTACACAACACAAATCGTTGTAAATGGCTATGATTTGATTGTGATTAGAGACATGGTTGCGGGGTGATCTAGACTAGGAAATGAACACCTAAAGGCCTTGCATCTTTTTTGAATTGTCCAAAAGCCTGTGGAACATATAGCTCCCATTGCATTCTCTGTGGCAACACCTCAGCCAGAGTCAGCTTGCCAACAATCAGCACCCTTTTTCTCTGTGGTATAAATTGTTGTCATCACTTAAAATTTGGCATTCTTGTGTTTGTCCTGATAAGTGCAAGATGAAGAGATTTGGCAACAGGTTTCTTCTTTCAGCAATGTAGAAACATCATCCTGATAAGTAATAAATTTATCCAAATGGTTTATTTTTAATGAAAAACTTATGTATCTGTAATACTGGTATTTTATGGTCAATCCAATCCACAATTACTAAGAATTCTCCTGTATTCTGAAAGATCTCATTGAATGCATTGGTTAATCCACCACAAGGGCGTTAAAAAAAGTAATCAAGCAGATATAATTACTCACAGACACCAAGTCTGATGAATGCTCATCGAATAGCTGCAACTCGTCAAAAGATTGGGATAAGGCATGAGAGTCGTGAGAATAGATCAGATAAAGACGAGGATCCTTCTTGGAACTGCCGAAAAAGAAAATCAACGAATTCTGTTGAAAAACCACAACAGCAAGCCTGGAGCTCAGCAATGTGTACAACCAAACCCAAGATTCACAGCAAATTCTGGCAGTAATCCTCTTCATCACTGGGGACAGTGCTGGGGCTACTGGTAATGATCAGACAACACAAAAAGCAACAGTTGATTGTTACCAGAGTGGGGGTTTCTACACACCAGACAGGAGAGCAAACCCAATCAGTATTTTTCTTCTCCCTACTCCAAAGTGTTGCTCTATTCAGTGAATATCAACATAGGCATCGATTCTACCCAATGAATGTAGCAACACTGAGGATAGAAAGAGATGGCTCAACAAATAAGAAGTGACTTATACTTGTTATGATAACATTTCATTGCCAGGCTGACTTCTGTGGTTTACTGCTAGAGTACAGGGCAAGAACTCCAATGGCACACAGTGCGAGGGAGGAGTTATATACTCACGTGGCCAGGACGACATATTTACACAGACACTTCAGTAAGGCTCTGGTGCCACCACCATGGAAATGAAGAGCTGGGAAGGAGATTCCTTCCTTGGTGATGAAGATGAGGTACGACCAACCCAGGCCAGGCTTGTTTTTCCGGATGGATTTGAGTTCAGACAGACTGAGAGAGAATGCCCACTTGCTGTTGACTTCAGAGGACCGGGTGGCAGCTGAAAAGAAAAAACATGCTCATTGAACAGAAACAAGCCATCAGTAAAGAAAAGGAACCATTCAGCTCATGCAGTCAATTCTAGCACAAAACACATGCACCTTAATTTTGGTCAATATTGTTGCCTTATTCTCTGATCTCTATGGGTCCCTGATGTCTAATCACACAAGTGGTCATGAACAAGAACTGTTTGAAGGCTATTTGCTATATGGAGACTCACAGCTCTGACCTTTCATACTGTAACACAACCCTCTAATGCACATAGGTTACTGGACCAAACTTACTAGATGGAACTGTGACTAATTACAATTCTAGAAAGAAAAAGAAAATCACATTCAACTAAAGGTGGATCCTCAAGCTGAATGCCCTGTAGGCATTAGGGGAGGCAATGGTCTAGTGTTATTAGTAATCCAGAGATCCAGGTAATGCCCAGGAGACCTGGGTTCAAATCCTGCCAAGGCAGATGACGAAATTTGAAGTTAAGAATGTAGAAGTTAAATCTAGAAATAAGCATGAAACTGCTGCTGATTTTCAAGAAAAACCCATCTGGCTCACAAATGTCTTTTAGGGAAGGAAACAGTCATCCTTACCTGGTCTGGCCTACACGTGATTCCAGGCCCACAGCAATGTGGTTGACTCTTAACTGCCCTCTGGGCAATTAGGGATGGGTTTAAAATGCTGGCTTAGATAGTGAAGTTCTCATCCAGTGAATGAATAAAGAAAAGGAGCCAGTGAACAAGTCAACTACTTCACAGAACACATCCAATATATGTCCACCATGTAAAGCGCAATTCCCTGGGTCCCTACCAGCGTATCACAAGTATTCTTTTATGCAAGTACCAAAACAGGAATGGATTGCATGCTATTCGACAGCATATAGCCTCATAGATCATCCTGCTCCTGTTTTCTAGTGCCTATGGAGCCACTGGAACTATAGCCAATTCTACTGGCAGAGAGACTTACAGGTTTTTGTAATTCAATTACACTCTCCCGCCACCAATATACAACCCCTGCTTTTATGAATACATGGTCTATTTACAAATACTTGAGTTAATTATAGGGAGCTCTTTGAAACTTCTGCCCAACATGTGGAGATAATTAAATAAGAACATTTTGTTATCAATCTCTTTCACTTAAACAGAGCTGGTGGATTTCTGAACAGTATATCCAATAGATCTGTGCCCTGCAAGGATTTATCAGATGTCCACCTCTGTGTAAATAACATTCAAAACACACAAACTTTAAAGTAAATAGATTGCTCTGACAATTACACCTCAACAGAATTGGTCTTGTCGCTGCCTGTAAAATTTACAAAACCTATACCCTCACCAAAAAAAAAACAAAATATCGTTTCCTTAAAAGAGCATTTTTACATATGGTTTCCATTCGAACCTGGCTCTCAGAAGCTTACACTTCCTGTTTCCAGTAGGAAGTTCCCCATGGTACGAACTGTTCCTAATCTCATACAGAGAAACCCACAGGATTTTGTAATTTGAAGGGAGGTTTACCGTAGTTACTTCAAATTAAGAAGGGTTTTGGTTAATTAAGTGAGGTGAAATTATTTCCATTTGGAGGAATGGCAACCCGAGGAGGTGGATTTAAGACAATCAGCAACATGAACAAGGTGGGGTGGGGAGGGTAGGAGGTGAAAATGGATTCACTTTTAAACACAGCAGGGTTGCAATGATCTTGTACAAACTGTCTGAAAAGGTAAGCAGTTTTGATGGTAATTTTCAAAAGGAAATTGGATAAATGTGTGAAGGGGAGAAAGAAGCAAGAAAAACAAACCGGTTACACTTGCACGAGAACAGTACAGGCATGATTGACAGATTAGCCTTGGGTACTTGAAATATGGACTGAGATACATCATTGGAACACCACAATGCATTTGTAACATTCTGGAGATCACTGTACTTGATAGTGGTACCTGATGCTTGGTGTCAATACTTCATCTTGACTAGAATGAGATACACATGAAAGAAAATTGAATGCATTACAATAATAAAAGACAGCATCTCTTACCACGCATATCCTCCAGTGGGCGTGTCCTAGACCCTACTGTGCTGATGACAGCCCAATCAGGTTCGTAACCTGGGTCAAACATCTCCTCCTCAGTATGACTGGCCCCATTCACAGTGGAATCCTGGAAAAGAATAGTGAAAATGGCGAGAACAGGAACAAATAAATGAAACCATCTGACAAAGCTCCTAGCCAGGATCATGAGAACTAAGCTGCGTGCTCTTCAAGAGGATCTTGTGAGGCAGTGGGCAGCGCCCTACTGCTGGGCAATAAACTCTGGATTCAAGTGGCACCTCAGGAATTGACAGCTATGGAAGATATGACACAAAGCAGGCAAACATGTTCATTAGCAAATATTACCTTCCTGATATGACTGGCAGGCCAAAGGAGCAGGAGGATTTCCTAGTCAGCCAGAACTCTATAGTAACAGTAGCAATAACAGGCTCTCTACATTGAAAGATTGCATGTGCAGGTTGTTGCCATCAATTGTAACCCCATAATGTTCGTAGTTGGGGATTCAGTAATGGTAATGCCATTGAATGTCAAGGGCAATAGGTTGTCTCTTGTTGAAGATGGTCATTGCGTGGCATGTGTATGGTATGTATGTTATTTGCCACTTTTCAGCCTAGGTCTGGGTATTGTTCAGGTTTTGCTGCATTTTGGACAATAACTATTTTAGTATCCCAGGGGTTGCAAATGGATCTGAACGTTGTGCAATCATCGGTGAACATCTCCATTTCGGACCTTATGTTGGAGTGGAGATCATTGATGATGCAGTTGAAGATGATTGGGCCTAGGATACTACCCTGAGGAACGTCTGCAGAGATGACTAACCTCCAACAACCACAATAATCTTCCTATGTGCCAGGCATGACTCCAAACAGCAGAGAGCTTTCCCCAATTCTGACAGTTAATGGAGGGACATTAAAACAAGGCATTCAACAGAACGTTGGACCACTATCGGAAAAGAAACTTTTCAAAGGGCAATGAAGGAAAGGCAGGGGAGGGGGACTAGCGGAGTTTCTCTTACAGCGATTTAATGTGGGTATGATGGGCTGAATGGCCTCCTGTGTTGCAACCATTTCATGAGTCATACTGCCCCCAAACTTCTTTCTAATAGACTTGTACTGCACACATGGGCCCTGGAGAATTACCTTTTTGGAATACAGGAATTGGGGATGCTCCCCGCTCTCACTGATTGGAGTCCACTCCATCACAGTGTCATGACCCTGGGAAACAAGAACAAATAACCATTAGAACAAGTTTGAAGTGCCTTCACTCCAGTTTCAACGATAAATCAAGTTCCTCCATTATTCCTATCCACAGAATTGTAACAGCATGGAAGGAGCCTTTCAGCCCAAAGAGCTCATCCTAGCCCTTTGAGAAAGTTATCCAAATTGGATGCACACTCCATCTATTTTCCCCAAAGCGTACAAGCCGCTGAGGAGACCAGCCCCATATTCTCTAGAGTTTAGAGGAATGGGAGACAATCTCAATGAGGCTTACAGAATTTTTACAGGGTTCAACAGGATGGACATCAACAGGTGGCCACAGTATCACAGTAAGAGGCAAGCCATTCAGGAACAAGAGGAAGAAGAATTTCTTACTCCAAGGGTGAAGAATCATTGGAATCCTCTAGGCAAGAGGAATGAGGGACCTCAGTCATTGAATGTATTCAAGACAGAGTTTGATAGATTTCTACACACTAGTGACCTCATGGGTATGAAGTTAGCATAGGAAAATGGAATTACAGTAGACGATCAGCCATGATGTAGAAAGGCAGAGCAGATTTGAAGGGCTGAATGGCCTACTCCAGCTCCTATTTTCTTAAAGTTGTCTGTATTGCTACATTTTGCCAAGTCTGCCAATGACTGAAATTGCTGGAATTTTCAGCACTTTGCTGCGGAACGCACGCAACGTAGCTCCTCACCTTCTCGAGGATCCGGATCACCCCGGGGATCAGTGTATCCTGGTCATTATTCCGCTTCGTGCTAGTGTGCAGAAACACACCCTCCTTCTCAAAGACGACCTGCAAGACAAAAGCCATAACCATGGCCACAGCATATTGAAGGTATCTGGTATGTAACATGTATGTATAACACCTCACCTGGAATGCTGCATGTCAAGAATGCACAGCACCCTGTTCCTCCTCCTTGGGTCAAGTAATTGTTCTCTGGTAATCATGCCAATTTGCACTAATATAGACAGGTAGGAAAAGCTACCAATCATCATGCAACAGGAAACTAACCTCTCAGTAATCAGCATTGGACCAGTAATCTAGGGTCCTGCAATGACAACCCAGAGAAGATGAGTTCAAATCTTAACTTTGGGCTCTTTGAGAATTTGAATTTGCCAATGCCTTCCACTCCCTAATGTACCTCAGCCATATTGGAATTGTGCTGTTGGAACTGTGCATGAGCTGTATCGTTACCTAAGCCAATAAACCCCCGTGCCAAGAAATAACATTAACAAAACAAAAGCTTCTACTGCAAATACAAAGAACAACCTTAAATCTTGGTTGCTGGCTCCCAACAAGGCCCTTGTTACACAGCTAAAACCAAAATTTTCCAAACAAAATAATCAAACAAAACAGAAGCATGAACTCAGTTATTGCACCAGATTGGCCATTTTGTACTATGGTTCTTATATTATTGGCAATAATGGAATATTTCCCAAAAGGGTTCAACATAGCATTGACAAGGTAAGAGGCTAACTAGCTTCGATATGGAGGTGTCTGCTTGGTTCTCGGTCCAGACCTTTACATTGCACAAAGATGTACAGCAAACTGCAAAATAAATATCTCTCCTGATATCCCTTCTCCATGTCCCAATCCATCGCTGGGTAAAGTGACCTTCACAAGGGTGACTATTGTCACAAAACAGAGGTCGATACTCCCACCCCACCGATAACTAAAACTGAAACACCCAGAGGGCTCGTCCCACCCTCAAATCTGTTAAAAGAAGTGTGAAAAGTGGTATCAACTACCTCTCACCCTCAAGCTGTTATAAAGGGGAACTTAAATGAAATGAACTTCTGACAGTCACTTTATAATCAACAAGTAACAGTTTACTTATCTAACAGTGAACAAATTAACAGAACTACTCACAAACTGAACAATTCCCCCTCAACTACTAACTATTCCCAAATAAAACAAAATTGCAATGGTATGCTGTTCCAATAAATATAAATCCCACTTATATAAACCAAATTAATAAAAAAGTCTTAAAACTTAATCTCTCGAAATTACATCTTCAGCAATGTTCTGTGCCTTCTACACTCTTCTTCAGTCAGGAATATGAGCTAAGACTACTGTTGTACATTTAGTCAAATGACGATTATTCTGAGAGAGCCAGTGATTTTCTCTTAAGGGCTGCTGGTTGTTAACTCTAACAGATGGCAGTTTTTCTCACATTGATTTTCAAATACTCTCTTCTTTTATATCCTTGATGACCTATCAATTTCGTACAATAACATTGGCCCTAGGTTGTCCAAACCATCAGATTTAAATTTAATTGTTTTTTTAGTCTCTAAGTGCCTGGTTTAAATTAATTGGCTGATTCAAACTGGTTACCCTAATAGCAAAACAAGACTACTGCCTGGGTTGCTAACCATACAGCCTTTTGATACAAACGTTTCAATTTCAGGAACTCTGTGCCTGCTGCTGCTCACAGACATTTTCTTTTTAAAATCTCTAAGACTAGAAAAAGCACTTCATCTTTTAAAGGCAACACGTACTCTTTTCCCTCATCATTTTACAAACAAATTCTAACGTCCTGCCTTTCAATCCACAAGTACTCTACCCAACTTCACGACACTATTGTCCACTGATCTGTGAAATATGCTGCTAATAAACCATCTAATTATAACTTACCTTGCACTATTCAAGGTGGTTGTACCTATACCACATGGACTACATCTTCTCAAGGGCAATTAGGATTAGAAAACAAATGTTACCAGCGAGGTCGACAGTACACCCCATGAATTTTATTTTTTAAAAATGTTTGGGCTTATCCAAGGCCAAATACATTCTGTCTTCCTTCCTGCTCAGCAGTGATCAGCAGTGTTGAGAAACAGGCCCATCATCGCCTGCCGGAAACCATCTTTCATGTATGAATTCAGCTATTAGCCATGGGGACAGTTGCCAGTTTGCCTATTCCATACTCACCAGCCAGCTACAAAGATGGATCCTTGATGTGCATCAGGATCCCCCAGCACTTCCTCCCTTTCCATACCCCAGTGTAATACATACGAGGCCAACTTTGACTTCTCTGTTCCTGCACCAGCCGAGGTCGAACTAATTGCATATTACCAGGTGACGGAAGGCAAGGATCTTTACAGACTTGTGTTGCTCACTTTCCCTGGGAATAGTGTGTTTACCCTCTGAGCCTTTGATAAATGCTCAGGGTTACATTGTGGGCACAAATACAATCGACTTGCTGAAAGGGATAGTGGGTGGAAATAAACATTTGGCCTCTCAGCAGAGCTGTAGGTATTGAAGCTCGCAGGTTTGAAAATAAGATCAACTGTGATTTCAATTTAATGCAGAGAATGGGATATCTATTTTGAACATGAGGTTTGGTTCAAAGTGCCTTATAGAGGAAGTTTTCACAAAAGGTGGAAGAATTGCAGGTCCCTTTCAGCAGACATTTCACATCTAGCAGAACATATTTGCTGGAGTCCAAAAAAAGGGATAATTTAGTTCACTTTGCATGATCCCACTATCACATGATTCACCAGTGGAGTTGTGGTTAGTCACAGTGATCAATCTACGTGTCCACAATAGACCAGGATATGAGGTGGGGAACTTTGTGAATCGTGAATTCCAACCTGCCTACCCCTCTTAAGTTCCACTTATCGCATGTCATGTCTCAAATCTGTCCACCACCTCCAAGTCACAAGTCAGGAGTGTGCTGGAATACTCCTCACTTGCCACGACAAATGCAGCTCCAATAACATTCAAGATGCTTGATACCATCCAGGACAAAGCTGCCCATTTGATTGGCACTACACCCACAAATATTTACTTCCTTCAACACCAACACTCTGTAGCAGCAGCATAAGGCCATAAGACATAGGAGCTGAATTAGGCCATTCAACCCATCACGTCTGCTCTGACATTCGATCATGGCTGATAGGTTTCTCAATCCCTTTCTCTAGCTTTCTCTCCATTACCCTAGATCCCCTTACTAATCAAGAATCTGTCTGTTACACCCAATGACTTGGACTCCACGGCTTTCTGTGGCAACGTGGTCCACAGATTCACCACATTCTGGGTGAAGACATTCCTTCTTAGCCCAGTTCTAAAGGATTGTCCTTTCGCTCCAAGGCTGTGCCCTTGGGTCTTTGTCTCACCTATTAGAAAGATCTTCTCCATGTCCACTCTATCCATGTTTCTCAGTATTCTGTAAGTTAATCAGATCCCCACCTCATCTTTCTAAACTCCACTGAATACAGATCCAGAGTCCTCAACCACTCCTCATACGACAAGCCCTTCATCCCTGGAATCATCCTTGTAAACCTCCTCTGGATCCCGTCCAACACCAGCACATCTATCTTGATATATGGGGACAAAAACTACTCACAATATTCCAAATGCAGTTTGACCACAGCATTATAGAACCTCAGCAGTGCATCCCTGCTCTTGTATTCCAGCCCTCTCAACATGATTACAAACATTACAGTTTCCTTCCTACCTGAACCTGCACGTTAACTCTAACAGAATCCTGAACTAGAACTCCCAAATTCATTAGTGCTTCAGATTTCTGAAGCCTTTCCTCATTTAGAAAATAGTCTATGCTTCTATTTTTCCTACCAAAGTGCATAACTTCACACCTTCCCACATTGTATTCCATCTGCCACTTCTTTACCCACTCTCCTCGCCTGTCCAGGTCATTCTTAGCCTCCCTCCTCCCTCAACACTACCTGTCCCTCCGCTTATCTTTCAGTCATCTGAATGCTAGCAACAATATCCTCAGTTCCTTCATCCAGATTGTTAAATGTATAACACGAATAGTTGTGGTCCCAACACTGACACTTGCTGAACTCTACTAGCCACTGCTGCCATCCCGAAAAAGATCCCTTTATCCCTGGTCTCTGCCTTCAGCCAGTCAGGCAATCCCCTATCAAGGCCAGAAACTTGGCCCTAACATTATGGGCTCTTTTCTTATTCAGCAGCCTCCTGTGTGGCACCTTGTCGAAGTCCTTCTGGAAATCCAAATAGATCATGTCCACTGGCTTTTCACGTTTGACTTGCTCGTTGCCTCCCCAATCACTTGCTAGCCATGACCTCCCCTTGATATGATGCACTGCAGCTCCTTACTAAGGTTCCTTGGATAGCACCTTCCAAATCCCCAACTATTACCATTGAGAAGGGCAAGGGCAGCAGATACATTGGAGCACCACCACCTGCAAGATCTTCCCCCTCACCCACGCCTCTCTAAGCAACTCACCATCCTGACTTGGAAACATACCACCGCTGCTTCAGTGTCACTGGGTCAAAATCCAGGAATTCTTTCCCTCTTGGTACTCTGGGTGTACTTTCAACAAATGGACTGCTACGATTCAGGAAGGCAGCTCACCACCATCTTCTCAAGGGTGGACAATAAATGCTGGTCCAGCCAGCAATACCGACATCCCTTGAATGAATTTTGAAAAAACTCTTTCATACTCTGAAAGGGATATTTCTAATTTGTGCATTCTATTTCTAACAGTATGAATCAACACTAACTGCTTCGACTGTCTCCTAGGGAGCCTGCTCTATAGGTCGACCACTCACTTAATGAAATATTGGCCAATGAAAACAATATTGGAATTTACACCCTTTAAGTGCAGGCCAAGATTTCTGGCTCTTAGTGAAACAGATTGTCATGGTCTCCACTAAAATTCTGGAATATTTGTTAAATGCACACTTATGTCAAAAACAAAAAGGATTTCCTGAACATATACAAGATAATAAACTGCAATCAAACTGGGATCACATATGTGCTCACAAAATTATGATCTGGAATCAACATAAACAAGACAGCAGTATACAAATCATCCTTTCGCCGATTTTTCCCTTATTTTTGTTACAAAGTATCTGGCCTACTAATAGCAAGCTGCTGTATCAGTGTATGCTACTGAATCATTACAAATAACAACATTTCATGATGACAAGAATCACAAGAGGAACTATATACTGAGACATCCACAAGTGTTACCTCCATATGTCACTCACCAGTAAATATACTGATAGTCACTAATATTAAGGTTGCAACTACACGTAACCAATTCCTACTCTAACTACAGGTATCCACATGTCAACATTTTCTCTGTAACTATTCATTCAGGTATCCTTACCAATACATACACTACACACAAAAAAAAAATTTCTGAAAGTGGCAAACCTTATAAACATGTAAACACTGACCCTATTTCACATAAGTTTGCAGTTGGTGCAAATATTAGTAAAAATAGAATTAATCCTTTGCCAATTCTGTATATTGCTGCAGTACAATATATACAAGTTAATATCTGCAATGTTTTCAAAGTGATCTGGTAAACTACCTTGTTACAGCATAACAAACAAATGAATATTTTGTAACTCTCTGCAAGTGACCCCACACTTCACCGTAGCACATGAATTAAAATGAACATATTTCCCTATAATTCTCTGCAGGTGATCCCTCCCAACACTATAGTGCTCCTGTTCTACACTATATGAAGAATAAGTTATCATCATCTTGTGACTCTCTCTTCATTATTACAATCCACACTGTACAGCATCCCTGAACTACAGGCATAAAAGCAAATTATTGCCTTATAACTCTCCATAGAAAACGACATCCCACACCATATGAAAGTGCTGTTCTACTGCAGGATTTAAGGAACAATATATCACCTTACAAATTTCTGTAAATGACCACATCCCATATTGCATGCACTGTACTATAAGGTGCAAGGAATGATTTATTACCTTGTGGCTCTTTGTTGCTGGCTTCATCTTAAACCACATTCTAACGACTTTGTATTAAAGGGTGTAAGGACTCTCGACATACGGACACATCATCCCACATCACTGTACTACACAACAGGATATAAGAAATGAGTTATTACCTTGTGACTCTCTGTAGATGACCCCATCATTTTATTTCAGCTCTTCTCAAAACAAATCCTCTTGCATCATTTCCGGATCGTGCTTAGTTCTTACTGGTTGTTAGTTGACTCTCCTAGTATTAGGGAAGAGGAGGGGTTTAGTCAGGATACCAATGGCATCATCCCAAGTTTTCATTGTCCAACTCTTCTTTAAAAAAACTAGCTTTTTTTAAACACTGCCCTATCTTTAGGAGTCGGGCTTGTGGATAAAGTTCCAAGTTCAGTGTCATATTTTAGCTCGTTGGCTGACGTCAGTGTCTTATGACTTGGATGTTGCCGGGGGCTAATAAATTATTGTGACAAGTCTGGATTTAATCTCAAAAACAGGGTGCAATGTACCAGCAACGAGATCATCTTGCGCAATGCCATCCTTCTACCTCCCTAAAAGCACGGATCCGCTTACATTATCCATTGAATATTTTGGTTGATCTCTGCCTCTTTCTTTCAGATGTTACATGGCACAACAACATAAAAATCCTAATTAGAGACAAGGCTCCCTCCCGGCCGCCATCTTTGTGAGGGGAACTGGTGTGTTATCGGGGGAGGATGAGGTTGTGTTTAAATGCAAAGCCTTATGCTCTTCCCCTCTGGTTTTTGGTTAGTGGTGGAACACTCGACGCCCTTTTCATTTTTGTTCTCCCAGTCGCTGCAGGCCCCGAAGCTGCAGTTTAGTCCTTGTTCCGCATGGCGCTATGGCCGGCCGCCATCTTAATGCGGGGCTCACCCCCCCCCCACCTCCCCCGTCCCCAGCAACCGTCACGCGGTCGCTCCTCGCTCCCTTCAGGTCACCCTTCGAGGTGTGGGATGGGGTTGAGCGCGCACTGACGGCGCGGATCCCCCCCGAGAACGTTTAAAGACCCTCAAAGAAAGGAGTAAACAAACGCCCGCCATGTTTGTTCGGGGGCGGTCGCCATGTTTGTGCGTGGCAGGCGTGGGCTAGTCAGTGGACACCGATTAATTTTAATCGTTCCCTTTTTGAAATAAAAAGCCCACGATGATTGTCACTTGGCATCTGAAACGATATACTAGCGGGGAATGAGCTAAAATAGAAAAGGTAGCTTTTTCAAAAGCGTTTACATCGGACGTAAAGGAGGGTGACGTGATGACATAAGAAGACGACGCAGTGCGCATGCGGGTCTGGCTCTGGGAAGGTTGGAGGGAGACACAGGTATGGGGCTTGGGGGAGCTCTCAGCTGGTCTCCTGTGAATTAGTCTCCCTTCCCCTGACCTCCCTGCGTCCTCTACTTGTCCCTTCTCATCTCCTACCTGCTGTCCTTGCTTGCACCTCTCTGTAAGTTGCCTCAGGACCCTTTACTCGCTCTTTATTGAGGGGGATGTCTATCAATGTTTCTCTCATTGCTGCTGTTTGCTTTGTTTCTGCACCTGAGGCTGTTTATAATGTGTAATCTGCCTGACCATGGTCTAGTTTTGGGGGAGGTGTTTGTAGAGATCAATCGGGCCGTGTTCTGGTTTTGCGGGAGGTGTTTGTATTGACTCACTACAGTTTGTAGTGATCTACCTGATCAGCTACTTCATGCTCTAGTTTTTGGGGAGGTATTTGGAGTGATCTAGCTGACCATGCTCTGGTTCTTGGGATAGGTGTTTGTAGGGATTTACCTGACTGGTTTTGGGGGAGATTGTTACTGTGTGTTGCAGGAGGTCGTTGTCCTTAACCAGCCTTGAGTTAGTGTTCCGTATTGGCATTGTACTGTGTTCTTGTATTTGTGTCTATTCAGTTTGCTTTCACTCACTTGAATGAAAGATGTGTTCTGCAGTATGAGCTGCTAACTTTTTTCAATGTGAGTATTTTTGTTTATCAAGCCTTTCCTCAGTGAGGTTGTGCTCTGTGGAGTGCTGCAGTTTGGGAAGGGGTCTTTTGGGTGAAATATTAATTTAAGCCCCTATCTGCTCTTTCAAGTAGCTGTAGTGGCTCCCATGGCACTATGCTGAATATGATTAGGATCACTGGTGTCTGGCCCAGTGTTTATCCCTTAACTGGGTTACCTGATCATTGCATGTATCAGCTTGCTGTTAAGTTAATTGTGGTTTTCCCTTGTGTTACAGCAATGGCCACACTTCAACAGCATCTAGTTATAAAGTGCCTTGGGAGACTTTGAAAGCTGGTACATGATTCCAAGTATTTCTCCTCCGTGTGTGAATTAGAAGCCATTACAACATTCTGACTTGAACACGAGACCTCTGCTGATACTTCAGTGCAGCCTTAAGGCAGTAGCTCATTATCAGAGGTGCAATCTTGTGTTTTGTGTAAAGTGTTAACCTGAAGTCATGTCTCTTTTTCCCCTGAGAATGTAAAAGAGACTTTCCCTTCTGTGCGGTTGGGAAGTTCTTCTGGTATCTTGAATAATTTTCTGGAAGTAAAACAAAAATGTGCATTTTTGTAGTGGCTTTCAGTGCATCCTCAACTGAACCACTTTTGAAGTCTGTGTCGTCATGTGCAAACTAGTACAGCCAATTCGTGCATAGCAAGTTCCCAGAAACAACAATCTACAAATAGACAGATAATCTGTCTTGGGGATGGTAGTTGAGGGATGATTAATGATCAAGACACCAGAGAGAACTTATTTTTGCCCCTCTTTGTTTTTGAGTGATGAAAGTTTTGCATCAGAGGATAGCTGGTGGTCTTTGTTCAATATTTTCCTGAATAGCAACAATTGCCAACAGTGCAATTTTCTCAATTGCATAGAGTGTTTTAACTAAAGCTGTGTTCTCTAGTCTGTGATTTTGGGATTTGAACCCACAACCACGGCCACCCACAGAGCCAAGACTGGCATGAGCATTAGCAACTTTCTTCTATGTATTTGGAAGAATGTTATGTCTTGGCATGGTTATATAGATGAACTTTTTATGTTACAGTTCTCACCTAATAATTACTTCTGAATTGTGGATTTGTACTAAATGTATTGACGTCTTTGACACTGAAGGGTATTATTGTTTTCTGAATAGCCGTTTTGACTTTCTGGCTTCTTCTGAACCTTGCCAAACAAACTGTGCAGCCATTTTATTTTGTAAATGGTGTTGTCGTGAGGGGTTTATAAGAGCTATATCAAAAGGACAATATGATGTAAATATACTCTTTAAAGAGGTGCTCTTGGTCTATGCCATTGTAAGCGCATCCCGTGGGTAGTAGAACATTTGAGATCTGCTAAAGATGGAGTTATCCTAAGCTTCTACAAATTGCTAGTTCGACTCCAGCTGGAATATCATGGCCAATTTTTAGACACTAGACTTTAGACTTTAGAAAGATAGAGTAGAGGAGGGAATGAGGATATTTACCTAAATGGCACTAGAGCTGAAAGACTTATTTAGTTTGGTGGAAAGATTAAATAAATTGGAAGTGTTCATTTTCAAGAACAGATCAAGGAATGATAGAATGTTCAAAATCTTGAATTGTTTTAACAAAAAGTGCTTGCAATGACAGAAGGCTGACTAAGTGCCTTTTTATTTTAAAGAAAACACTTGAAAGATCCAGAGACAAATCTCATTTTTACCCTGTTTAGTTTTGGAATGCACTTGAGCCTCTGTGTTGTTGACCTTTTTATAATGTCTATGCACTGGTGATGCAGATGGATTTCAGAGCAAGGGGCTGGAGGAGGCTTGTGTGAGACATGAGCAATGATACAGGCTGATTGAGCCAAATGGCCTGTTTTTGTGCTGGAAGATTGAGTGTCTGTGAAAGTACACTTTCTTCAACCTTCAGACAAGGGGGTACACAACACAACTATCAACTAAAGGATTCTGTAGATGCCTAGTCACTGACTATATTCAAGAGTAAGATTGGGAGTGTTTTGGAAATTTAAAGGATATAGAAATAGGGCCTGAAAGTGGCGTTGCTGTTAAAAGTCAAGCACAAGCTTACTAAATGATGATGCATACTGGAGGGGCTATGTAATCTTTCTTTTTGTTCATGGAGTCTGAACATATTGGCTAGGTCAGCATTTATTGACCATTCCTACTTGCCCATTAGGTGGTGGGGAGCTGCTGTTTTGCGCTATTGCAGGTCTTGGGGGGGTTTAGAACATCCTTGGGGCCGTTAGGGAACTCCAGGATTCTAATTTGGTGACAGTGAAGTAACAGTGCTTTAGTTCCAAGTTTGGATGGGCTATGGCTTAGAGGGGAAACTTGCAGTGTTTCCCTGTACCTGCTGCCCTTGTTTTTCTAGGTGGCAAAGGTCATGGGTTTGGAAGATACTGCCTAAGGAACCTGGGAGAGTTATTGCAGTGCACTTTGTAGATGGTACGCACTGCTGTCGCTGTACCTCAGTGGTGGGGTGAGTGCATGTTGAAGATAGTGGATGGGGTGCCAATCAAGTGGAGCTACTTTGTCCTAGATGGCATCAAGCTGTTTGAGTATTGGAGCTACACTCATCCAGGCAAGTGGGGAGTGTTCCATCACGCTCCTATTCCATAATAGTCTTATGTTTATGGATAGAGAATGAAGCAAAAAGATGCTGAGCCACAGTAGGAGAATTTGTAACAGTGAGCAGAGATAGCTTGGTAAGTTTGAAAAAAAAACAGTCTTTGTGGAGAGGAAGATCATGGCTTATGTAGACTTGACAAAGATTGGTGAGCTAACCAGGAGTGGGTTGGCGTATAACCCCTAGATGGCAGGTATTAGTTAAAGAAAATTGCCTTAATGTGGTGCCTGTAATGACTGACTATAGATTGCCCAACAAGTGTGGCTGCAGTTGTAATGCAAGGAATGGCATCCGGCATTTGTTCACACAGATCCCACAAAAGTGATGGTTTTTTTTTTTGGAATGTTGGATTTAATGGCTAAATATTTGGACATAGGGTGGGTGAGTGATAATAACTCCTTAGAAAAAGTGGGGATGGGCTCTTTCAGGAGTTACTGAGAAGGCAGAGATGGGGCTTGGTTTCATGTTTCACGTGATAAAAACACAGATCTACATTGGATGTGAATGTAGAAGGTATAATTAGTGAGTGTGCAGATGACATGGAAATTGGTGTTGTCATTAGTGAGGAGGATGGTCTCGGACTACAGTCTGATATTGATCAGCTGGTGAATTGCGCAGAGCAATGGCAGATGGAATTTTAATCCCACTAAGTGTGAGGTGATGCATTTTGGGAGGCCTAATAAGGGAACAACAAAAACACAATTGCTGGAAAGCTCAGCAGGTCTGGCAGCATCTGTGAAGGAAAAAAAATCAGTTAATTTTTCTATAACGTTCAATTGAGAGATATAGACAGATCATGAATTTTTTTCCCTATGTCAGACATGTGCAAGACCAGAGAGCATACGTTGAAGGTGAGGAGTGTGTGTATAAGAGGAGATCTGAAAAGAAAGTCATCCGTGGTATGGTGGCAATATGGAACATGCTGCCCGAGAAGGTAGTGGAGACAGATAATCACAACATTTAAGTATGTAGGTGAGCACTTAAAATGCCAGGGCATTGTAGGCTATAGACCAAGTGTAGGTAACTGGGATTAGTGTAGCTTGGTATTTGGTTGGCATTGAAGGGCCTGTTTCTATGCTGTATGACTCTGACAATCTCCGATAAATGGTACTTCTGAGAGTGCAGCATTGCCTGTACTGCACTGGAACATCAACTCTGACTTCTGTGCTCTAGTCCTGGAGTGGGGACTTGAACGTACTGTATTCTGACTCTGGCAAGCTTGCAACTAACAGAGCCATAGCTGAAACATCTCGGAGTGGAGAATGTGGTGAACTGATTCCGGAGTTGACCACACAGTTAACCGCTTCCCCTACCTCACCGTTGTGGCCAAGTTAACAGCCACATCCCAGTATCTTGGGAAATCTCTTGATTCATGGGTATTCAAAGAACACTTCTTTTTTTTTTCAGTTGGATAGAATGTAGTTTTGTAACTGGATTGTGTCTGCAATTTGCAGTTCTTTCTTGTCTTCATGTGTGTCTGTGTTGCAGTCGAACCACTTTTTTCTTCTGTGGTACAAATGTTTGTTTTTTCTGGGATACCATTGTTTGAGTGTAGGCAGTTGTCTGAAACCTTGAGTGTTTTTGTTCATGTCTGTGCGTGCTGAGTGAGTGAATGTTGGAAAGCTGTTTAACTTTGGAAAGTTAAGCCCGGTTGTAGCTTTCCTTGCAGCCAAAGCAGACAGTCATTTTCAAAAAGCGTTTTAGCATTAGAAGGCAGGAGGTCGGCAATTGGGAATATTTTCACTTAACATTAGCAACCCTAAGCCAAAGAACAGTAGATAATGATTTATTGTGAATTTGTTCTTGCTATGATTGCTGTCTAATGTCTGCACAGTCAGTGACTGCAGGAACTTGATTGTATGTGCTGGCTCCTTGCTTTCTTCCTTGTTATGGGGTAATGGGCACAGTGTGATCAAGTGGCTCTTGTAAAGGAATATCTGGATTACCAACACAGTCTGCACTTGTCTACAGCCACTTGGTTTCTGACCTCTAAACAGCTGAAGTCCAGAGGTGAGAGTAACTACTCTTGGAGAGCAATCATTGTTACTCCTAGGCATCTTTGCGGGAGATCCTCAGGATAGTGTCCTAGGCCCAAACATCTTCAACTGCTTCGTCAATGATTTTGCACCCCCCCCACCCCCCTGCCAAAGTCAGAAATAGGGATGTTTTCCAATTGCACCAATGTGACTCCTCGGATTCTGGAGCAGTCAATGCAGCAAGATCCGGACAATATCTGGACTTGGACTGATAAGTGGCAAGTAGCATTCATGCCATGTCAGAAAATGACCAATGCAAAGAAGAGAGAATCTTAACCATTGCCCCCTGTTGTTCAATGGCAACAAAATCACTGAATGCTCACCCTCGATGTCCTAGAGGTTACCGTTGACCAGAAATTGAAGTGAGACCAACCAGCCAAATAAATAACTGTCGCTTTGAGAGCAGGTCAGATGCTGGGAGTTCTACAGCTAGCAACTCTTCTCCTGTCTGCTTGCTGCCTGTCTACCATCCACAAGGTATACGTGATAAGTGGAATTCAACGCTTTCTTTACGTGGATGGGTGCAACACCAACAGCACTTAAGAAACTGACGCCATCCAGGACTGAGCTTGCTTGAGTTGCGCTTAATCCACAGTCTTCAATGTTGCAGTCTCTGTGTACCACTTTCACGTTGTATTGCAGTAACTCACCAAAATTACTTTGACAACACCTTCCAAACCTTTGACATCTAGTGCTTAGTAGGACAAAGCCAGCAGATGATTGGGAGCTCCACCACTTGCAAATTTCCCTCCAGCCACATGTTATTCTGACTTGGAACTGAGTCACTCCTGCGTGGTGAGCCACAACCCTGAAACTCCCTTTCTAACAGCATGTTGGTTATCCTAGACTCAAACGAGTGCGGTGGCCAAGAAGGCAGCTCACCACCACTTCCTCCAGGAAATTAGCGATAGATAAAAGGGTTCGGTTAGCTCAGTTGGCTGGGTGGTGAAGCATCGTGATGGATTTGAATCCTGCAGTAACTGAGACCACCATGAGGGTCCTGTCTTCTCAACCTCACTCCTCACCTGAGGCATTGTGACTCTGGTTAAACTCAGTACCAGACCTTCGCTCTCAATGAGAAAGCAGCCGATGGGCAATGTTGACTTTTAGAGATGGGTAATAAATTGTTCATGGCGTAGACAGCGTTTGTTTTTGAAAGTATCTTGGCAAGATGTGGGGAAGCTAAACACGATCGGGCAAGGAGGGGATGAAATCTCAGCCTTTCCCTCCCAGCGAAGTCCTGTGAAGTTGTTCTCTTACCCTGTTATAGAAGCAGTTAACGTCCATTGACTTCAGATCATCCAGGACTTGCTGACACCTGCACATCTTTTCAGTGATATGTTTAAAGTCAACTTAGAGCTGTTATATAAAGAGCAAACTGGATACCTTTTTCTTCAATGCAGTACGTGGCACCCTGAGCTGCTTGCTCTTAGAACTACAACTTGTTTAAAATATTAATTCCATGTGAAGCATGCAATCTAAAATGTTATACATGGATTGCAGCCTCTCCCTATACTGTGGTGATGGGCCTCAGAAAGTGACCTTTCTTCCCTGTGCCCTATTGAGGCTTCAGCTCCAAACTTCAGTCTGTTCCTAAGCACGTGGTCCTCACCCTGGGAGTGTGCCAGGCTGTAACAGACAGGTCTCTACATGGGAGGGCAAAGAGCAAGCTGTGTTCGAGATGATATACAAATACAAGTTATTGTGGTGGTAATAGTAGCCCAGTCTTCCATGTATTCCCTTGAGTTTATTTGCTCTCAAAAGGTGCGTGTTGTTGTGTTGGGGTGGGTGGTGCGAAATGAGACCAGGTGTTAATCATAGCTCCATGGGTAGTGCACCCAGCTCCATGAGTCAGAAGGTGCTTCACATCCCACTTTAGAGCACAAAATTTACCAAAGATCCTGCTGTATAATTTGGGGAAGAGCAGGAATATTCTCCCCAGTGTCCCAAATATAATTATTCCTTAACCAATTTTTTTTTTTGGCTTAAAGAATAAAGACTGGTTATTATTACATTATTTTGTAGGATCATTTCCTGCCTTTTAACAGTGGCTGACTGCAAATAAAATGTTTCTTTGGTTGTAATGTACTTTAGGCTGTCTGGCAATGATGAAAGCTGGTATAGAGATGAGTAGATTTCTGATGAAGGGTCTAGGCCCAAAACGTCAGCCTTCCTGCTCCTACGATGCTGCTTGGCCTGCTGTGTTCATCCAGCTCTACACCTTGTTATCTCTATAGATGAGTAACCCTTTTTCTTTCACTCTTCCAGATTGCTAAACTGGAGGTTGTTTATCAATAGCAAAAACAAAAGGAGCTCCCAAACCTCCCGCTGTCTTTAAATTGCAGCATCTGTTTGGCTTTTTTTCCTGGCTTGCTGGAACCTGACTCCACTGTCTGACTGGATCCTGTAGGATTCCTGAACAAAAATGTTACTTACACAAGTCCAACTTGCCAAGTGTACCTCTTTTTTATAAAAATGTTGTTGACGTAGGAATGATTTAACTCGATACCACTCTGTTAATGAAACTGCCACTATCAACTTGTGCAATGATAAACCCAAAACTAACCTAGTTTGCTGTTTGGAAGAATCCTGAATTTGTACCTGTTAGGAGGCACTTTCAACACATTAAATTGAAACCTGGGTCTGGGTCAGTGTTTAGGGTAGTAGTGGAAGCTAGGGAGTTTAAATTTATGTCCCCTTAGCTACTGACTCTCCACTGGAAGCCACTTTTTATTTACTGTGGTTTCTGTATCAAACTTCAGTCTTGCATGGATGGACTGGTTCTGAATTGAAAGCCTTCATCCCAAAGCACATCTCTTCTGCATCCTGCGTAAAGCCTCGTATGCTCCAGATTCAAGGCACCCAGGAGGCCATTTCCAGGTTGGAGTCTCACCAGAGACGTTGTCCTGATTTGTACTTAAAGGATCATAGTCATAGTGTTACACAGCATAGTAACAGACCCTTCAATTCAACTTGTCCACGTCAACCAGATATCCTAAAATGATCTAGTCCCATTTGCTAGCATTTGGCCCATATTCCTCTGAACCCTTCCTGTTCACGTACTCATCCAGCTGTCTTTTTAAATGTTGTAATTGTAGCAGCCTCCACCACTTCCTCCGACAGCTCATTCCATACAAGTGTCTTGAAGTGACCTTTTTTGTAGAAGGTGTTTAAGAACAGCTGTTTTATAGCCTTGTATCTTGGTATCATTAGTATCCAGAAATGCCTCATTCTGTTCGAGTGTGCTCGATTACAGAGCTTCCATAGTCCTCTAGGGTACAGGTACTTGTTTGAGAACAGCCCCAAAGGGCTGAATGGTCTCCTTCTATTCTGTAACAATTCCACAGTTCTTGTGATTTTGTGCCCGTTTTGATTTTTGTTTTGCAATCTTTCTTCCACCGTCCCAGCTCCCCACAGGCAGCTACATGTCCAGAATGATGACAACTGACATGGTTGACAACCACCGAGAGAGCTGGGATTCTCTTATCTGTGCCATGGAGAAGTACCGTAAGCAAACCGGCAATGATGTTGTCCTCCTCACAGCTTACCGGCCCAAGCTGCAGTCAAACCTTGCCTATGCAGTCCACGGCACAGGGGCCCTCTCGGATGCCACAAAGCAGTACTTAGATGACATTGCAGTTTTCCACAAGACCTCTGCTTACACCAACAGCGTGATCCCAGTGCCCAACAGTGAGAAAGCTGCAGGGCAGGACGCACATGCCTCTGAGGATGCCTTCTCCAAGAGCTATCCGTCCATTTATGGCAAGAGTGGTTTTACGACTGGCAATCAGGGTCTGGTCAGTCCAGGACCAGTGACCACACATGGCCCGGAGGCAGCAGAAACAGAGGAGAGGACGGCTTCTGTATCAGAGAGAGAAGTGGACCGATGTAGCTTAAACGATACTTCAGGTAAAAGAGAAGGAGAAGGATTGATTGATTGATTTGATTTAATATTGTTAATGTACTGAGATAGTGAAAATATTGCTTTGCATGCTTACTAGCCAAAAGATACCTTAAGTACGTCAGCGTAATAGAACAGAATGCAGAATATAGTGCTCTTAATCTAGTAGTCTGTAATCATTGCCTTCAATTTCTATGTCAGATGGGCCTACATGGCTTTTCCAAGGTAATTATGGGTGAACAATGAATGCTGGTCCAGCAAGTGATGTTCTGTTTTTTTGCTTTAGTAAAAAACAAAAGTTCCAATAATTGGAAAGTACCAAAATCCAAAATTGGTGGTGTGAAGAAGTCAAAGTTATGGGGCTGGAGGTGGTTACATTGGAAAGAAAGAGATCAAGGCCTTGAATCTTGATCTCACTAAGAACCTCTGGACTTCTCTCTTTTTTTTTAGTTGTTTGACCAAGCTTTGGTTATCTTTCCTCAAACTTAATTGAGCCTCTGTCAAACTCTTGTTTAAGTTTCTGTCATCTGCAGTCTATAGGACTGCTGAACTCCTTTTCTGGGTTTGGGCCAAAATGGTCTATTTAAGACCATAAGATGTTGGAGCAGAAGCAGGTCATTCAGCCCATTGTCTGTTTCACTATTCAATAAGATCATGTCTGATTTGATAATTCTCAACTCCACTCTCCTGCCTTTTCCCCATTAACCCTCGATTCTATTACTGATTAAAAATCTGTCTCTCTCTCAGCCTTGAATATAGTTAATGACCCAGTCTCGCAAGCCCTTTCAGTAAAGAATTCCACAGGTTCATTAAGCTCGGAAGAAATTCCTCCTAATCGATCTTAAATGGGCAACCCCTTTTTTTTCCTGAGATTATATTTTCTGTTTCTAGACACACCACCTACAAGGGTAAACAACTTTTCTGCATTTATCCTGTCAAGTCCCCGAGAATCTTGTATGTTTCAAATAAGATCACACTCGTGCTTCTGTATTCCAACAAGCATAGACTCATTTTCCTCCTCCTCTCCTCCCAAGATAGTCCTTCCATACCTGGTATCAACCTACTGAACCTTCTCTGGACTGATCCAATGCCATTCTCCACTCCAAATCTTTTCATAGGTATTGGACCCAAAACTCTTCAGTATTCCAGCTATGGTCTGACTAGTGCCTTCTATAGTTTCAGTAAAACCTCCTTTCTTTTATACTTGAGTCCCATTTGAAATAAAGGCCAGCATTCCATTTGTCTTCCCTACTACCTGCTAAGCTTGGATGCTAGCTTTTGTGGTTTCATGAACAAAGACCCTGATTTGTCTGTTCTGTAGATTTCTGCAGTCTTTCTCCATTTAAATAATATTCGCCTTTTTTTTTTTTGGCCAAAAGTACATAACCTCACTTTTTCCCACACTTATACTCCTTCTGCCAAGTTTTTGCCCACTTGTTTAACATGTCTGTATCCCTCTGCAGATGTGGTGCCTTCTTTAGCACTTGGGGTCTTCCTATATTTGTTCTCCACAAACCTGATTTCTTTTTAAAAAAATTCATTCATTGGATAAGGGTGTCGTTGGCTAGGCCAGCATTTATTGCCCATCCCTAATTGCCCAGAGGGCAGTTCAGAATCAACTGCATTGCTGTGGGTTTGGAGTCACATCTAGGTCAGACCAGGTAAGGATGGCAGTTTCCTTCTGTAAAGGACACTAGTGAGCCTGATAGGTTTTTCCGACAATAGACAATGGATTCATGGTCATCATTTAGACTCTAATTCCAGTATTTATTGAATTCCAAATCCCATCATCTGCCACGGTGGGATTTGAGCCTGGGTCCCCAGAACATTTATCTGGGTCTCTGGATCAACAGTCCAGTGATGATACCACTTGGCCGTTGCCTCCCCAATTATTGTATATTTGTCTTCCTTTTCTGAGTCGGCAATATATTGTTAAATAATTGCAAATGGTTCTAGAAGAGACAGAACTGGAAAGATTGGACAAGTACATCTAGATATAGAAGATAAAATCATGAAAATAAGATCGAGGCCCATGGAATTTTTAAAAATTTTGTTTGAGATGTAGGCTGGGGCCAGCGTTTGTTGTTCATCCCTAATTGCCCTTCAGGGAGGTGGTGAGTTGTTTCCTTGAACCGCTGGAGTCATTGTGATGGAGATACATCTACAATGCTTTTTGATGGCTTGATACACCTGTGTGGCTTGCTGGACCATCTCAGTTGGGTGAGAGTTGCACACGTTGCAGTGGCTCTGGAGTCACATCTGCCAGACTGAGACAGGATGGCAGACTTCTGTTAGTGGGTTCTTATCACCATCAAGGTCCAGTCTTTAAATCCAGATTATGTTCGTTGAATTTAAGTTCCACCTGCTTTCCTAACTGGATTTGAATTCCTGACCACCATAACATTAGTCTGGGCCTCTGGATTGCTAAACTAGTGCCAGTGTTTTTGTTTGAATGCTAAGTTTTGGGGATAAATATTTTGCTCTAAGTTGCAGAAATGAGCCAGCTGTTGTAGAGGTGAAAACCTGAAAATCCATTCAAGAAACATTTGGAAATTGTGTGAGCTCTGTGTAGAGTCTGTCTTGATTGTCCATCTCGAATGGTATTGATTTTTTTCCCAGGTTGTCTATTTTTTGTTTTTTTTTCTTTGTTGTTTTTCATGTTAGAGCGCATGCTGGAGAAACAATTCAGTTACTTTGAAGAGTGAGTGAGGGGCCATTTGGCCCATGTCTGCAGCAGCACTTCCAAAGCACAATCCTGTGCTCCCGCTTCCCTGTTCTTTCGTCGCATCCTTTTTCTATTTTGGTCTTTGGATTAACAGTCTTTACTCTTATTTTTGTTTTACTTTTTTAAAACTGTAGCGCTAGATACTGTAGAGTGGATAGGTCCAGAATCTCCCTGCATTAAATCTGTTGGCGCTGAGACTGAATGCAGTTTGCCATTCAGAAAATAAACCCCTAAGCAGGGAAATAGTGTTGCACTGCTTGAATGTGCCCCCACAAACTTCAGAGCTCCACTAATAGCACTGTAACTGGATCCACTGAGCCAGTATGTCCACTTCATAATTAATCTTGGTGAATAAACTGTCTGAATCCCTATGCAAAGTGAATTAGGTATCCCTGGTACCCGATATGATGCAAGTTGCATTTTCCTGGATCATCTTTCACAAGTCGGAGCAGAGCTCCTAATCTGGGAAAGGCTACCTCAGCTTGGGTTCCGTTACTCTGCCACAACTGGTTCAGATTTACACTTTGTCTAGATAAACATGACCTCCCCCAACTCCCTGTTGGATTAAGTCCAAGAATCTAGCTTCCATGCTAAGAATATCTTCTCGGTTGCCTCTTGCTTAATCTTATCCCTTTCTGTGTTTGCTGCATGTGGTATACAATGCGTGTTTGCCAAATGTTGTTTTCCACCTCACTTCTCCCCTGTGCATGGGGGTGAGGCCTTGGAGAATGGAAGAGCTGTGAAAGGGGAGGCATCTCGGTTAGAGCAGGAGTGCAGGGTGTTCTATTCCCTCAGCGCCATAGTGGCCGTTGCTGACCTGGAGCTCATGACCACACTTGGGGAAACTCCCTCCTCCTCCCCAGATGGATGCTTGGCACGTGGCTAAAGGAATTGAGTTTTGAAATGAGAATCAGTGCAAACTATATGCAATTGCTGTTGGCTGGAATGGATGCTGAATTAGCTCTTATGTCCCGGTATCAATTCCAGTGTAGATTAAAAACAATAACTTACATTATACAGTCTCCCTCCACAGCCTCATGATGTTTTAAAGTGTTAGCAGCCAACCGACTGCATGTTAAAATGCAGTCATTGTAATCTAAGAAACACTGCAGGTCAGTTTGAACACTGTAACATCTTAACAATCAGCAAAGACCAGAATTTTGTTTTTTTGTGAAATTGGTTGAGGGATAAGTACTAGGCACAATACCAGGGAAGAGAACAACATCACAGCACTCCCACAGTTCTACCCTGCAGTGTCAGCCGAGAGATTGTGCTCCAGAGAGGGCTTCCCAAGCCAGGGCTGAGTGCAGTGATTGGAACCAGGTGGGTCTAGAATTCCCTCAGGTCAGGAGACTGACTTGGAGCTTTCTGGCCCCAGCCAGTATACTGTGCACCAGTAAATAAAGGGTGACTTGGTGATGGGGTACTGGCCTCTGTACATTTATTTCACTGAGATAGTTGTTGGTTTACTGAACAAACTCCATTCCTCCAACTTTGTCAAAGCATTAACTGCTTCAGTTTGGGAACCCTAACGTAATGTTGAAGGGGTTTCTGAATATGTGACTAAGGAAATAAGTGAGCTGTTAGTATTTATAAGGGATGAAAGTTTACTGGATAGGGCAAGAAACCCAGCCAGACTTGCACAACTGGAAAAAAGTTATTAGCCTTTAGTTCTACATGAATAAGCTTCCAGTCTTGACTCACTTAATGGGGGCACTTTAGTTCCCCAGCTTATCTGCTAGGCTGTTATCTGTGTTTATACTTTTCAAAAAAAATCCAACCGAGCTGATTTCAACAGCAGATGAGTGTAGATTTATTTACACTAAAAGCAGTTGGCTTGCCTGCTGGGTAATCTGATTGTGAAATCTGTCGTGTCCCTTTTTTTATCAACCCTTCCTGCTACTTTTTTTTGAGTTCTTGATTTAATCTTTTCCCATGTGCTTCTCTCCTCACTCGCACCAACCTCCTGTGTTCCCAATTCTGCTGCCTGTATCCTAATTTTCACAAGTTCCACTGTCCCAACATCTAAGTTTCGTTCTGGCAATCTCTGTATCTCCTGACTGTCACTTCCTCTAGCCCTACTCCAATTCTGACCTTTTTTGTGCCTCACTGATTTTCACTACCTCTATAGAACCTAAAGTTCACTTTCAAAAGCCAGAAGCAACGTCATAAAATTATAAAACCCCTGCTGTGTGGAAGCAGGCCATTCAGTCCATCGAGTCTGAAGAGCTTCCCACCCCGCTATCCTATCCGTGTGACCCTGCATTCTCCATGGCTAATCCATCTAGACTGCTCATCTTTGGACTGTGGGAGTAAACCTGAGCACCTGGAGGAAACCCGTGTAGTCATGGAAGAACCTGCAAACTCCACACAGATAGTGAGAGTCAAGGCAGAGGTAGATTCTTGGTCAGCAAAGGGGTCAAAGGTTATTGGGGGTAGCTGGATTTCTATGCATTCCCAATCAGCTGTGATTTTTATTGAATGATGAAACAAGCTTATGGGCTGATTGGCCTACTCCTTTATTTGCTTGGGACTAGAATTCATTCCCTAAATTGCTCCACCTCCTCCTTAAAACATTAACCAAGCTTTTTGTCATTGTCATCTGAGTGGCTCAGTGTCAAATTTTATTTGAAGCTTCTGATCAGGGTCTATAGACTCTTGTTCTTTTGTACTTTTCATGGTTTTTTTCAAAAAAAAAGCCATGGCTCAAACCCCTAAGCCCCAAATGATGGTGTATGTCCCACTTCCAACTGTAAAATTGTTGGAGCAAAATTAGGCCATTCGGCCCATTTTTGAGTCTGTTTCATATAATCGAGGCTGATCTGTTACTCAACCCCATTCTCCTGCCTCTTCCCCAGTCTCTTAACTGACCAAGAACCTATCTATCTGTCTTAAGGATGCTCAATAGCTTGGCCTCCCCAACCCTCTGCAACAATAAGTTCCACAGATTCACCACCTCCTGACTGAAGAAATTTCTCCTCAATTCTAACAGGTCATCCCTTCACTTTTGAGGCTATGTCCTCAGGTCCTAGTCTCTCCTACAAGTGGAAACATCTTCTCCATGTCCACTCTATCCAGGCCTCAGTATTCTGTAAGTTTCAATCATATCCCCCCTCCCCTCAGTCCCCTCTAATACCAGCATTAGATATGGGGCCCAAAGCTGTTCACAATATTCTGAATACAGTCTGACCAGAGCCGCGTACAGCCTCAGCAGTACATCTCTGCTTTTGTATTCTAGCCGTCTTGGAATGAATGCTAGCATTGCATTTGCCTTCCGAACTGCTAATTGGCCTGGCAAGTTAACCTTCAGAGAATCCTGAACTAGGACTTCTAAGTCTTTGTGCTTCAGATTTCCAAAGCCTTTCCCTCATTAGAAATAGTCTGCGCCTCTGTTCTTCCTACCAAATTGCATAAGCTTGTGCTTTCCCACATTGTATCCCATCTGTCACTTCTTTGTCCACTCTTCTAGCCTATCTAAGTCTGTCTACAGCCTCCCTCAGCATTACCTTTCCCTCCAGCTATCTTTGTGTCATCTGCAAACTTAGCAACAATACCCTCGGTTTTTTTCATCCAGATTGTTAATGTGTAATGTGAATAATTTAGGTCTCAACATTGATCCTTGCAGAACTCTGCTAGTCACTGGCTGCCATCTTGAAAAAGACCCCTTTATCCCTGCTCTCTGCCTTCTACCAGTCAGCCAATATTCTGTCCATGCCAGGAACCTTGCCCCTAACACCATGGATTTTTATCTTGTTTAGCGGCCTTCTAGGAATGTAAATAGATCATGTCCACTGGCTATCCTTTGTCTAACTTGTTCCTTTGTAGAATTCTAACAGATATGTCAGGCATGACCACCCTTTGACGAGTGTGCTGACTCAGTTCTATTTTTAACCATGCACTTCACAATCTCATCTTTGCTAATATTTGAGAGTCCATTATAAATGACCCAGGTCAGGCTAACCGGACTATTGTTTCTATCTTCTGCCTACCTGCCTTTTAATTGGGATGTAATATTAGCCATTTTCCAGTCCTTTGGGACCCTCCCTGACTCCAGTAATTCCTGAAAGATCACCACCAATGCCTCCACAATCTCCTTGGATATCTCTTATAGATTCCAAAATGCAGCATCTGCTATCATGGACTTGTGGTAGATGCTGATCCTCCTCTTTGAGGAGTAGCCAATAAATTAATAAGAGTTTAACATTTTAATGCTTTGCATTTCATTTCTGCCCTTTAGACAAACATTGTTGTTTTGAATTTTGTGGTTTAACTGATTTGAGTCATAACCTTTTTTTTGGTGATATTGGTCTTCTGTAGTTAAATTTTCATTTTCCAAGAACTATGTGATCTCTTTTTTTTTATTCTTGCTGGGCAAAGCTATGACATCATATGTTTTACCTCTGTCAATTGTGCACATATTCTATAGGTTTATTAATGTCTTGGCTGTAGAGCAGGTATGCAACCTAGGATCAGCCTATCATGTCAATAGGCATCTACTTTAATCTGCTTTCCACCACTTGGCTGCTAGCCTTAACTCCACTTAACTCCCAGTTTGGTGTTGAGTACAAATGTTGAAGTACAGCAAAATGATGTTTACAATAGATTTGAGATTTGTTTCTTTCCATCTGCTTCCAGCAATGTTCACAATGGATGAGGAATCAACCAGTCAGGACTGTGAGCCCTTCTTTGAATCTGACCTTGATGGAGAAAGCACAGATGGTAAGTAGACAGAGTCTGGACTGCTGTCCTGTAGAACCTAGTAGATGGTGGAAGGAAGTTGGAGTTTATGCTAAGTAACAATTCACAAAGTGTTTCTTGTAGTGGATGTATGTGAGCTGCTTGTTACCCATTCACATTGAGAGAAGAGGTGGAAGGGGAAAAGAAGCAAGACTTGTTTTATATGGTGCCTTTCACAACTAAATTGCTGTAAAACTTTTTGGGACATTGACTATATTTGAAAAGTACTTCACACTTTTTTAGGATGTAGGAATTGAGTTGAAGAAGAATCTGAATTTACTTCCCTGGAGAATATCGACCATTTTGCCAGGCTTTAATTGTTGAGTTGTATCTTATAGGGTGGATGGATAGTTGAGTTGCTTTCACTTTCTTTCAAGTCGGATTAAAAATAAGGGGGAGTTGCAGAATGAGGGATCGCAATGTATTGTGCCCACATCCAACATTTTAAGTGGATAATGTCCATATCCACGTCCATTGTTAGGATGACACAACTCTCAGCGCCAGGGACCCAGGTTTGATTCCAGTCTTGGGCAACTGTCTGTGTGGAGTTTGCATGTCTGTGTGGGTTTCCTCCTGGAGTGCAAAGATGTGCCGGTTAGGTGGATTGGCCATGCTAAGTTGCCCATAGTGTTCAGGGATGTGCAGGCCAGGTGGATTAGCCATGGTAAATGCAGGGTTAGAGGGATAGGGTAGCGGGGTGGGTTTGGGTGGGATGTGCTGTAGAGAGTCTGTGTGGACTTGATGGGCCAAATGGCCTGCTTCCACACTAGGGAATTTGATTCTATGACTAACTACTGGTGGTGTTACCCAGGCATGTTGCGTATCGTTTGGGTTATAGCTTGGGGCTATGTAGAAGCTGGATTAGTGACTGCATGCAAGCAGGGGTTAGTGCACTTACAAAATGATGCTTTGAGTCCTAGCTTTGCAGTGGTTCAATATGAATTAAATGTGGCTGATCAGTTTGTTTTTGTTTTGTGCCTGTGCCTTACAGATGGCAGTCTGAGTGAGGAACTTCCTGTTCGTTCGCAAACGTTGCCACAAGCAAGGCATCACCAGTATGCCAAATCCCTGCCTGTGTCTGTTCCCATATGGGGATTCAAAGATCTGAAGCCAAAGAAGCTTGCTGATGGGGACAATGAAGAAAGGGTAAGGTGCATTCTCTCCAGAATTGACATTATTCCTTGGGGGTACAATAGTGTAATGATTATTTTGTTCGACTAGTAACCCAGAGACTTTTATAATTCAAATCCACAATGGAATTTCCATTCCACAAATGGAATGTGTGGGTTCTTTGTTTCAAAGACGTTTTGGTTTAGTGCAAGTGACTAAGTTTCAGACTTGTGAAAATATCCTTCCAGGAAAGAAACTGTCTTTGTCCAGTCTAATTCTGTGACTCCAGTTCCACACCAATGTGGTTGACCCTTGACTTGCCTCCTGAAGTGGTCCAATGAAGCCCCTCCATTGTATCCAGTTAGAGTTGAGAAGTGAATATTGGTTTAGCCAGTGACACCCTCATGAGGTGATGGGAAATTTTTCTGCACCCCATTTCCCTTTGAATGGTGAATTTAAATGGAAATGGTTGAATGTTGGCTGTAGTTCAGCGGTAATTTTCCCAACCCAGTGATAACTTTTACTAAAAGTCTGTAATCCCTGCAACCACACTCCAGTGTAATCGAACCCAGCCTGTGGGTGAGATTGAAGCTGTAGTGATAACCTTGCAGATATTTTTGTGGCGCTTTTTTTTTTTGATGAAATGGAGCCACTGCGCCACACCTGAACACACCTACACCCAGACATTATCTCTCTAACCCTCTATCAATTATTGGTTTAGCAGTACAGAATTAACAGACTGCTTGTATTCAGACCCATTCCTTTTGGTGCAAATATTCTTGACTGCTGCTCTGTAACATTGCCTAAATTGCACAAGTAAAGAGAGCTGAAAACAAAATGCTGGAGATCAGGCAGCATCTGTGGAGAAAAAGCAAGTTAATGTTTTGAGACTAGATAACTCAACCATTGAACTAAAGCCTAATTCCAGGAACCCTCTCCTACTGGTCAGTGGTGTCATTCTCCTCTACTTGCCTTTCCACAGTGACCTTCTGTATTTTGAAAATTATTTCACCCAGAGTTCTAGTTGGGAGACTCTGTACTTCTGTCTGAGGGAGAGCTTCTGATTTTCTTTGCAACTCTGTTCCAGCTTGACATCTACCTCAAACCTAACAATGGCCTGTGTAATTCTGTGTTTTTTCCAAAAGGATAGGTTACAGCAGGAATAATTGGATGGGCCTGAAGTTGCAGAGTGAGTTCACGCTAGAGGGTTCCAAGCTCAACCCTCCCCCTGTTCTGTTGCCTTTCCTCAACTGGTCTAACAGTAGAGACACTAATAAACCTCCAATGTCTGACTTGAAGGGGGTAGGTGGGAGAATTAAACAACACCTTTTATTTTTGATTATCCAGTGGACCTGCCGAGAATTGTAGAGAGCAGAAAAGATTTGACTTGGTTTCAGTGTTAAAGTGTGGTGAGCTATCACCTCTGGACTTTGGCATGTGGCCAACCTGTGCAGTGTACTAGAGCAGTTCTGATGTCAGTCAGCAGAATTGCATCTTAACAGGAATTAATCCTTCAAGAAAGATGATGATAGGTATATTCCTCCCCCACCAGGAAATCCAACTCTGGACTTTTGCATATCCCTGATTTCCATCTCTTCACCTCTAGAGACTCTGTATTCAGCTGCCTTGGGCTAAGTTCTGGAATTGCCCTTCCCTGCCCCTGCCCATTTCTCCCTCTTTAAGGCCATTTGTCATGTTTTGTTTTCTACACTGCTGTGAAGCATCTTGGGACTTTTTAAAATACCAAAATAACCACTGTACAAGTGTACATTGTTCATAAATTGTTTTGTCTCTTGTTTGCTTTCTCAAGTCTTCCCATTTGAGCGCTCCAATGAGGAGAGCGGACATGAGCTGGCCTGTACTACAGCAGAGAACAAAATGCTGGAAATTCATAAAGACATGGGGGCAAAATTTCTGCAAGATGCTCTGAGGGTCAGGAGAGAGAGCAGAGTTAACTTTTCATGTCAGGGTCTCCGAGGGTTCAATTAAAAACCGAAAGAACTGCGGATGCTGTAAATCGGGAACAAAAACAAAGTTGCTGGAAAAGCTCAGCAGGTCTGGCAGCATCTGTGAAGTATTAAAACAGTTAACATTTCGGATCCAGTGATCCTTCTTCAATTGCTGGCTCTCCTTAAGTGCCCTGACTCTGCTGCTTACTGATTTGCAGTTGTCTCTTGGCTCAGCTTGCTGTGTCGCTCTGACTTTTTTTTTTGTCTGCAGTTGCCTTCCCCAGATTTGGACAAGATTGCTGCTAGCATGAGGGCCTTGGCCATGAGTGTGACAGACGGCACTGAAATGTTTGGTGACTTGCCTCGTCCCCGACTCAACACCGGTGACTTTCAGAAGCCCTATCGGAAGTACTAAAGCACTTTTCGCCGCTGCGACTTATTCTACCCTTCCCTCCCCTTCCTTTCTCCCTCTGTTCTGCACCCTACCATGTCAAGCACAACACTACAGGAACCCTTCCTGCAAGAAAAGTCGTTTACTGGCCCAGGGCCATCCCATGGGCCAGCTGCTTCATGTAGCATTAAGGTTACGTATAACAAAAGACTGGCTCAGAAGTTGATTCAGTAACTTTTCAAAAATGAAGAAAGCGAGAAACTTTATAGTATATTTTTCTGGCAAAACATTGTGTGTAGCAGAGTGCCCAAGAATCCACTTTTAATGTTCCAATTTGTCCTTGTGTCGTTCTCCTCCTTCCAGCATGCTTTGGTTTTTTTTAAAACAAGCTAACTGAGCCCTTTCATTATATTCAGACAACAACATGGTTCACAACGGAAGCCCCAACAGCATGGCATTTTTAATCTGTGTGTCTCTCTCTCTCTC